GTCTTGCTCGGTTTAGGATTCAGCGAATGAAAACAAACGTGATCGCGAATAACTAGAAATGGGATCGAAAGTAACACGAAAATAGGATATGTAAATAAAACGTAAATAGAATACGTTAGAATCGCTTCGTGTTACACAAATAAAAGATCTTTCTAAAATTACGAAATGTCAATAAATATAATATGTTAATAAATGTTCTCGTAATCTTTTCTCTTCTTTTACGATATTTAATTTAATTCTCTTTGTTCTCTCCCTTTTTTGTTTTTTTTTTATCTCTTTGACTGTTAGAAAGTAACCTTTTGGAAAGAGAGGGTTTCTGATTTTTATTTCGAAAAGTAATACTTTATCATACGTTGATACAAATAAATGTTTTAAATAGAAAGATAAACAAGAATGCAATTCTATTAGGAAATTTTTAGTTCAATATTCATGGCAATAATGGTTCCAGTCAATTAATTATATAATAGAACATTTATTTGCCATTTTTACGGTAATTATAATATAGATCATAGAAAAAATAGTATGCGCATCTCAACCGGAAAATAAATATTGCTGTAATCGCGGTATTTTTTTTTTTAAACTAGACATATCTCAAACAAAAATATTCACATTTCATATAGTAAAATATCATTTTCCGGTCTAGACAAAGAAATAAATATTCATTTAATTGTATTTAGATTTGAATACCGTTAAATATGCTGATTGAAAGAACGAAAATGTGAATACAATTGAAATTTTGTCGTAGTTATTCAAAATAATACGATAAAGTGAGAAACAACGAATACAATAATCAAATCAGAAAAAATCAATGATAACAAATGGAAAATAAAAATTTGAACTTGAAAAACGTTCCAAAATAATATCGTACATTAAGGAAATTTTCTTATTATAATTGGGGAAAAAAAAATTTCTTATTTCTAATAATTATTATGTTATAATCGCAAATGTCGTCAATCCTACGTGTTCAGCGACACATCCTTCAAATATTTATTATTTCTACAATTATAAATATTTTTCAATAAAAATTAACATTTATTGTCTTCAAAGATCAATAAATATAATAGTCGAATTGAAATTTCGTAATCTTCTTTATTTCAAAAAAACAAATGTCTTGTTACTCTTTGACCCAGAAAATAATAAAACACCCTTTAAATCAAATGTTAATCGGTCTTTATTGTGTGTACGTATTTTTGACGCGTTTTTGATTAATTTCTTCATTTAAAATGAAAATAAAATGATAAAGGTGATTGTTATAGGCGACGAAGAACATTTTTCATGCTAACAGCTTTAACACTGTGATTTTAATCTCGAAGCGAGAAGGAAACTTACGTAAAGGATTTGCTCGCGGATGTGCACACCCTACGATCAAGTCAACCTGCACTTTCTCAGCCAACTCGATCTTCCGTTCTTCTCTCTATGCGAGAATACCAATCGCAAAGAACCATTTTTCCATCGTACAAAATTAAAAGGACCTGAGTTCGAGCTCAACGAACGTTTCCTATTGTTACATAATCGATATAATGAACATATACGTCTGATTGTCAGTGATCATTACATTAAAAGAAAACAAATGAAGTTTTGTAATAGCATAATCGTTTCTTCTTAAATTGCACCTCATCATTTGTTGAATAAGATAATCGAAAGGAATAGATCCTAATATTATAGAATGTTCATTTTTTTTTTTATTATTTTTCCATTCATAGTTGATAAATTTTTATGAACATCTTTCCTGATATTCTCGGAAATCAATTAGTATGAAAAAATAGTTGCGGTCTACAGAGAAAGTGCAATTGCATTCTGAGTAACGTCGATGCATGGGGAAATAATAGAAAGAAAAAGAAAACAAACAAAAAATTACACAGTCATAAAAGATTGAACCATAAGAAACTATGCAATACCTAACTATATTTTCGCTTGGAAGAGAGTTTTAACCGATTGCAGTTTTTGGAAGAATCACTGTGTGAATAAGCAAAAAGAATTTGAGTAAAAAGCAGAAAATTGCAAATCACCGAACTCGCGCACCAGCGAAATCTAGTCGAGTGGAAAGAGCTTACAAATACTTTCGCGAGCAACATGGATACGTTGGTACATAATATGTACGTGAGCACGCACACACGTACAAACATAAATACCGATCAGGAGAGTTCGTCTTTTCGTGCATGAACGAAAATGGATGTTATGTTGAAATATATCAGACTGCTCGGAAATCATGAAAGTCGAGTGATACTAAAGCTTGCCGATTAATTTTATTAAAAAAATAGTTATTTGCCATCTTTATGGGGTGGCAGTAATAAATACACTTGCTAGGTAAGATAGCTTCTGACATTTGAAGTTACCGCTGACAACGACGATGACGACGACGTTGAAGGAGCGAATGTGTTTTGCACGGTATGTCCTTGATTCGTTTAACAACCTAACGATAAAATTTGTGCTACGCTTGGAAACGATGATTTCGAATTAATTCGTGTGTTTCCGATTTATCAGAAGTAGTAAGAATATATTGATGTAAACAATAAAATATTTATTGATAGGAAAAAATGAATCACCAATCGAGTATTGCTTTGGTAACAAAAATTTTGTGTAAAAATGAAAAAAATTTATTGAATTCATACATATATCGTATCAAAGATTATAAACATTAATTTGATTTTAATTTTTTTACACATTTCTTTACATCATATCAATTAGATAATAGATATTCGACCATTGTGAACGGAAGAATATAGAATACTCTTTAAAGATTGAATAATGTCAACAACGAAATACTATATCTCGGAACACGTATAACCTTCAGTTTTGCGTAACCATGACATTGAAAATCATTCTTGAACGGACATTAACCCGCTTTCTATTTTTGTTACGAAAAAAATCCTCATCTTCCGCAACCCTCTTTCCATCTTAGTATCCTGATTACCACCACTCCTCTCTGTCGATTATAGCGCTAAATTACTTTTCCCCACGACCTTCGCATCATTCATTCTCCCGTGTCTTCTTAACTTACCGAGAAAGTAAGTAAGTAAATAGTTAAATTGAAAAATATTTATGAAGTTTCTCTCTCGCGTATCACCTACAGCATTTCCCATTCACTATAAGATCGATCGTTGCCAACCATATTAAATAAAATGTGGAAGTGGCTCGCGAAAGTTATCGCCAAACGTAAACCATTCTGAAAGAGACCAACTTAAATAGTTCCGTTGAACAACAAAAAAGGTTCGTTGATTTCTCTCCTTGAACTCTCTTTGGATTCCTTCAAACAGTTATATTCTTTTCCTTTTTTTTTCTTTTTTCTTTTTTTTTTTGAAATAAAATATTTTCTTAAAAAACTAAAGAAAATGTATTTTCTTTATAAAATCTTTCGATGAAAATGAAAATGAAAGTTCAACAAGAATGCGACGCACTCGAGAGAGTCTTTTGTTTCTCACGTTCGTGAGGTCGTTCGTGAATCGAAAACTATCGAGATTAACCGAACGAGATTATATTCGAAAGCTAATCGCGCGCTTTTCCGAAACCTATCCCGCATTGTAAATATTTGTGTCTTTCAACTTACGAGGTCGAATGAGGTAAAAGAAAATATATATAATATAAATTAAAGTTATTATAATGAAAAAGTATTATATCAAAAAGTATCGAACAAATAAAAGTATATATAGGAGAATTACATTAAATGAAAAATAGTACAGTATAGTTTGCAATCAAGCTTCCTGAAAGAACTATCAAACTATTGTGAAATGGGTTCATATCTCGACAGTAAAACCTGATGATGAACCTTTGCATCCTAGTTCTCACGATTTATCTTCAACATCCCTGCTCCCTGCTTTAGTCCTTTCCTTCTTTCATTACCCCCATGCCAACACCATGAATATGCGTAAAAATGCCAAAATAGAAAGTCACCAGTTCGTTGACACGCTTCGAAAGCTCTTTTCCCTTTCTTCTCGCTCTGACTCCTTTTCTTAGCTCACAGAGGAAACTGTTTCTTTGTTAAGCCGGCAAAGAGAATGAAAGAAAATAAAAGGAAAAGAAACGAAAATTGAAAGAGAAAGAAAGAGAGAGAAAGAGTGGAGGAGGAGAATAAATTCCATTCGAGAATGGAAACAAAGCAGTTTATAATAAAAAATGAAGTAAAAGTAAATAGACAAATTTTTTTTACACTACTCACCGTTAATAATTAGAGGAGCTTCGAACAATTCTACTTTTTACTGTTTGACGTTTCCAGAGCGAGCTACCGATGCTCACTTTTCCTACTCGTGTATGTTCACCTGCTCCGATAGCGAAGAACTCACCAAAACGAATGAGAAATAGTTTGGTTTAAGGAGTTAAATTGGCAGCTATACCGCGCCACTGAAATGCCCTCTATCCTCATATTCGAGTTTATTCAGGTCGCCATATTGATGCCTGTATGATTACGCGCGAACATTTAAATTTACTTTACGGCAAATATATATCTAATATACTTTCTATGTCATTTCTTAATTAATGAATATACTTTATTATGTTTTGATAACTTTAATTGTTTTATGAATAAAATATACATCTATTTCTGCTTTTTAAATCACAACGTTAATAAACATATATAAATATATCATATAATTTTACATGAATAACATATTACATGTGAAATTCAACGTTTCCTCACGAATAAGTATTTGTTTGTTCTGATTTTTTAACATCTAACATGCTTATGTAATTATCATATGATACAACATATTAACATTTATTCGTACGATTATTTTATGATCCATGTTAAATCCTTCCCAAGCGCGCTAGATTATAACAAATCTATGAATTTTCGATTAGGAACATACATAAGTTGACCCTGACCTCGTGCTTGAAATTTTAAATGACTTATGTATTCGAAATTGATTAATTTGGTTACATGTTAAATTTAGAATCTTTTTATATTTTCACGATATAAATATTAATATTATATAGATAATATTGAATTTGATGATGATTTATCTTTATATTTGAAAGTTGTAAGTATTATCGTTGATTAGCACAACGAGATCTATGCACGGCCCTGCGGATAAGTTCTAAAATCCAACATGGCTACCTGATATGTAGCAGACGATATAGGTGCCATGAAAAATTGTAAATAAAATTCATTTTTAGCTTTAATTATGAGTGGACGTGTACAAAAGGAATGTGACGATGATTCTGATCGTGTTGACGATGCGGTGGATCCTAGAGTACAGGTAAGACAATTTGTTGTTTCTTAAATAAACAGAGTGTCATGGCTTCCGCGATCAGGCATTTACGACATTGACATTTTCTTATTTATTATACGATCTGGAAACTTTAATAAATTGTCTTTCTGTGCGTCACAAAGCATTCGTATCGTGTTTAAATTATTATACAAGTCTGATACGTATTATCTAATTTGATTCGATTATACGTTACTTGTTAGATTAGAAAATATGGTCGATGCATTTAATACCTCCCCTCCATCGTCCCTATTGAAACTGTTTTATCACAATTAGCATAAAATTAATTATGACGGTAAATTTTTTTTATTTACCGTCATGTTATATAAATAAATTATATTAAAATAAAATTAAAAAAGAACAAAAATATTTCAATAAGTATCTTTATTTATTTCAAAAGCACTTTAATATATTTTTTTCATTTTATCATGCACGTAACAATATGTTACATATTACCATACATTCATAATGATCTTTATTTTTATGCCATTGTAACAATTATTGCAGATTGAACTTGAAAGATTGAACACAGCTACAGATGATATCAATAAACTCGAAGTAGATTTGGATGTAAGTATAATAAAAATATATTATATATGGCTATGTTTTCACTTTTATTGTCCCCCTTTATTTATTTATTTATTTATTTATTTATTGTTTATTTCGTGTTTATTAAGCTAGAGTTTTTGAATTAGAAAACATATATTCTTCAAAGGTTCAAATTAATTGCTAGTTTTGAAACGAGTTCTGACTAGATTTCATTGAAGTGATTGATGTATAGCATACGGGCAAAATGGATAATAGCTCGTGAAGATGATCACCTACGTAGTCATTTATCACAATGACAGCTAAAGAAACTATTCATGACGTGAGACTTTGTACTGATTTGCCTTATCAGGATAAATTACGATACATGCATTTTACATTGCTTTATATTATACATTAGATTCTATTTATAAGTAATTTCTTTTCCCTAAGCATTATTTTTGAACAAATTTATATATTTTTAATTTTAATTTTAGGAAGCAAGGGCCACATTCAGGGAGTTATTGTGCGAATCTACCATTAAAATTGATTCTCTGGCTAAAAAACTTGGAGCCTGTATTGAAAAATCTAGACCCTATTATGATTCTAGATTTAAAGCAAAAGAAGTAATTAAAAGAATGATATTCATAATGATGTATATATATAGTATTATTATATAAATATAAAATATAAATAATAATTTATCATAGGCTCTACAGGAGACACAAAAGGCTGCGATTAGATTTGAAAGAGCCAACAGTCAACATGCAGCTGCCAAAGAAATGGTATACCTAGCAGAAGAGGGACTAAGAACGGAAGGGAGATGTTTTGATCATGCATGGCAGGTATATATAGATGTACATATAGTTTAAATGCAAAATATTGGTAAATAATGAAATAAACTAAAAAGAGCTATATCTTGGTAATCTTTAATTGAACATAAATATAGGAAATGTTAAATCATGCAACAGCTAGAGTTAATGAATCAGAGCATGAACGAGCTCTATCTGAGGCAGAGCATAGACATACGACTGCGTTGTACCATAAAGCGGAACACGAAGTTCAAAGATTACAAAGAGAATTAAAACGTGCAATTGCCAAGTCAAGGTATGAACAATTGTTAATTTTTGTATTAAAGTATTGTTTTTTAAATTTTCTCTTGATATTATTGCATGGAAAGTTATTGCATTTAAACAAACAATTCAGCTAATTTAATAAGCTAGAACCCTTTATTTGACGAAAGTGTCTTGATTATACATTGTTGTCAAGTTTTATATATTTTTTTACAAATATATTTCCTTTTTCTCTTTTTGTATTTGGTAGTGTTTGCATTTATTTTTTCTCCACCAATTGTATTCAATATAATATTCTTGAATGTAGATATGATTTTTTATATAGATGTTAGGATATTTATGTCTTTTGGTTATATTCATGTTGGCAGTATGGGTGCACGTCGCAGCTTGCTTCTGATAAACAGTATCGCCTACAGGCACAACTTGCTCATGTTGTAAGTAGGATAGATAATCTTTTTTTTGTATTATATTTTATTCTGTGTGAGCAATTAAACCAGCATAATTTGAAATTTTATTTTTGAATTGTCATCCTGTTTGTGCATGAATATATTATATAATCTATTTATAAATATAATATATAATATTTATAATATCAAAATCACACACTTTATGAAGATATGTATCTGTAAAAAATACAAATGTTTCATTATTCTTTATATTGATAATTGAATTATAATTCTTTGTTAAACTTTATAAATTTTAAATTAAATATTGAAAATAATTAAAATTGATTATTATTTATAAACAATTATTTATCATTAAATTATAAATTATATGCAGGCCTTATTATGAAATGAAAGCACATTTCAATCAAATGTTAGAAGAACAAAAGATGAAAGTTAGTGTATTGGAGAGATCAGTTGGCGAAGCTAAAATGACATATGCAGAAGCTTTGAGAAATTTAGAACGTATTAGTGATGAGATACATAAGGTATGTATTATAATAAACTATGTTCAAAAATCTTTATAGTAGGAAGTAATTTAAGAAATTTCTAATCATTCTTTTAGACGAGGCAATGCGACACTTCAGATGATTATGGAAAGCATATACGAGATGCTACAGATCCTTCCTCCATGCAGACAAATACAGCAACTCCAACTGATTCAAGTATAACTGGTTCACCAGATAGTACAGATTATACTAGTGATGAATATTTGCGCCTCTCTGATAGAATGAGTCCAAGTACTCCTTGTCTTGTGCCTACCAAAGTAAATAATATATATTTTAAATAATGTTCTAATCTATGTTAATATGTACATTTATGTTATCTAGTCATGTGCTATGAGTGATTATAATATTTATATATATATACTAATCCTTCCAGTTACGCAAGTAATTGGTTCAATATAATATATAATTCTACCTATATAAATTAATTAATCATATTGAAATTAATCCTAAATATTACTTATTACAGATTGAGAGGAATCCATCCTCTGAATATTTGGGCCTAAATAATATGAATCTTTCAACTTCTGAACCTCGGAAATATATAAAGAGAGACCGTCCGCGAAGCATCGCCACAACTGACACGAAACATATCGTACAATTAAATCATACAAGTTCTTCTACATCTCGTTTATCTGATCTTTCTAATATTATATCTCCTATCGAAAAGAAGGTTAAAATTCAATCACCGGTGCGTGATGAGAAAAGTAACTCTGCAATGCAGAATGGCGAAGAATGGACAGAAATTAGTTTGAATAATTCTCCTGATGAAATATATTACAATAATGACATCTATTCTGACGAAGAAGATCAAATTCCTTATAAACCTTTGCCAATGGATTTGAGTCCTGAAATAGTCAATCTTCCAATTCTTCCAATAAATGTTCAAGTATTGTATAATGATCAAAATATTCGGAAACGGTTAGTTTCACAGAAATCTTTACCTTCAATGACACGAACAAATGAAGTTAGTTTAAGCGAAGAAAAGAGAGCAGAGGTCACAAGAAGTCCATCAGTAAGAAGTAAGGGTAAACTTGACACTAGTTTAGCCAGTTGGATTACTCGAAGTTCTGCTGCTAGTGAAATAAGTGATGGTAGTTCTGGTATGTTATACAAATTTTTCTAATATAATTTATGTTATTTATTCAATGATAAAATTGATTGAAACCTATATAATAATTTATCTTTTAGCTAATTCAAGTAGAAGACAATCTTTGGATATGCTATGGAGTGGAGGAACAGGAGAACGAGTCAAAGAATTGTTAAATCATGGAATGATGATGCTAAACATATCCGGTCTAACAGAGCGTCGTTCTAGCGAACCAAAAACAAGTGAAAGAGATAAAGAGAAATCTGAAAAATCAGAATCGAAAGGGAAGAAGGTTCCAAGTCCTTTAGAAAAAACTATGACCTATCTTAATCCGGATGAAGAAACTTCAGATAGTGAAAGTTTAGCCAGGTAAATTTGTTAATTATATAATTTAAGAAAGATATATTTACATATTTATACGCGATAGTTTGTTAATAAATAATCCTACGTATATTTTTATCTAGTGTGGAGATGTTAACAGAAGATCAAATATCATCTCTAATGATGGAACCTGATATGAATCAAGTTTGCCAAGAGATTCTAGGTACACCATTGGTAGAAGTCTGTCCTTTATTGCAACAGCTTCAGCAACAACAGTAATGTTCTTTTTCTTAATAATATTGACCTCATTTTAGTAAATTAGGCATAAAAAAAAAAGAAAAATGTTCAAAATTTAAATGACGTGATGAAATATCGAAGCAGCATCCTTTGTTAGAAATTCATTTGTACACGTGAATTCACTGTTTTGTTCTTTTTTTAATTTATTACTAGGAACTAATTAAAATGAAGCGTATATAGAACTATTAGAACATTATTTTGTAAATAATATTTCATATATAATACATGTCTGTAAGGTAGAATGTAATATTGCATTGTCTTTTAAAATATTTATATATGCACTTTTGAACTTGCTTTCTTCTTGTTAGTGCTAATAATTACTATTTTTAAATCTCAAAAAAATGTGTGTGTGTGTGTACACACACACTTTAGTACATTATTATAATTCTAAAAAGCCTAAGAGATTTTATGCAAGTACATATATATAAATCAATTGAAGTGCATTGAACGATGAATCATTAAGAATCATTCCATTAATCTTCTATTCATTCAAAGTATAATAGGCCATAGGGAAAAGGTTCATTTAAACAAGCAATATATAGTAAATATTAATAATAATTAAATATCTATAATTAATGAAATAAATTGCTCTTGCTAATCGTACACAGTTCTGATATTCGTAATGCTCTTCTGTATTGTTTGGTTACATTAGTAATAAATGCTGTACGATCGCAAATTTAGAGCTATTAGTAAATATATTAAACTTTAATAATCAAAGTAGGAAATTTTGTAATTATAATTTAATGTAAAAATAATTACATCAAGATTATAAAATTTTTATGCCTCATTTTCTATAGCACAGAGATGAAGAAAAAAATGATCATAGATATTAAATTATAATTTCATCAATGAAATCTCTCTTCTACATCATCATATATTGCTTGGAAAAAGTATTTATATTTTATCATTAAAAATATGTATAAAACAGATCTCTATATATATTAATCATAACATTATTTCTATTAATTGTAAAAGTAATTAGCATTAGTCTATGATGTTATATAGTCTCCCTAAAACAATTCCTTACATACGTGTGTATGTGGGGAGCTGCTCATATATGTATATATATAGTATATGTACAATATATGCAATATATACATATAATTATTTAAAATTATATGTAAGAAAGACTTATATTTGTTAAGATTTTTAGTTTTGAGGTATGGTATACACCTACAAAGTTTGTAACATCATTGTGGAAATAGCCTGTATACTCAGGTAGTGAATTAAGTGATAAAAATAGTCGAGATTTTAAACAAGCACATTTATTTAAATATAGAGCTACAATACAAAGCGTAAAGTTTAAAAAAAAAATGTTTTAGTTTTACATAAGGCTTATGTAATTTTAAAATTTATTATAAGAAAATTCTAAGTGATCAGTTCAAAAAGAAAATATAGCAAAGACATTACCTAAAATATATATATCTTAACTACAGATTTTACCAGTTTTATCACAGCGGTATGTGATATAGTTATTAGCATTTTTAAATATCACATAACATATATGGATTGTAATAAATACTGCAAAATGTGCATGCAATATACTATTTATAAAGAGTAATATATATGTAATGTATACATACCGTACATGTATGTATGTATGTATATATATATGACGCGTGAGTGCAGATACACACGTAGCGCATACACACAACATACGTATAACATACTAATAAATATTATTTATTATTGATATATAATTATTGAGAAAACACAATTAGTTGAAATTTTAACATACAGAAAAAAAGCAGTTTTTATAAGAGAAGCAGTTACATTTTTATAAGAACTATCATGATAATTAACTACACATTTTCTTATCATATTTTCATTTATAAAAAAAAACTAGTTAAATTGATGTAAAATTATGAAATAATATATTTTTTGTGATATTATACTCTAAATTTGGAAATTTCTTAAATAAGAAATGTTACATAAATGCAAAAGTCTTGTAAAAGCTAGCTTTTTACAAATATAATTTTTACTTTAAGAAAGTGAGAATTATATATATATATAAAAGATATATAATAAAATAAATTATTCCTTTTTCTGAAAATTATGCTTAGCGATATTGTATAAACTATAATAGTTTTTCTGCGAAATTCATTATCTACGAGGGAAGTTTTCTTGCACGATTCTTCCACAGAAAAATTTAATGTAAAAACTTTTCGACTCTTTAGGTAGAAAGATTAGAAAATTATTATAATTAGAAAGATTAGAAATCATATTATTGCTCTCAATGTAAATTATGAATCATAGATTTAAAAAAATATTTTCTTCACTAATACGCTATAGCATTAAAAATATCGCAAGAGCATAATTATTAATAATAATAATTGTAAATATATACTAATATATATGTAAATGTAACTATGTATATAAAAACATATTCATTAAATCATCACAAATGTATACTGAGCAATATTTAGTATTACCAAAATATTATTTAAAAAAAAAAAAAAGTTACTTATCTCTTTCATCGTGATAAGATATCTTAGTATAAATAATCTGAATGAACGAAATTGTAAAAGAAATATTTGTAGTACCGATTGATTAAATTGTATCCACGTGTGTGTTTCTACTATCAACCGAAGAGCTATCGTTATAGTTTAAAAACACGATAGCCTTTCACTTATTAAGAACATCGCGCATCATAAAAGGCGCCAATTCAAATACCCTCGATACTATCAAAGAATAGTTCAGTTGGCCGTTTCGAGAGCTAAGCGTGGCGCTGGTGTCGTTCGTGCGAGAAAGAAGGAGAGAGAAAGATAGAGAACGGTAGGACAGTGAAATCAAGATGGCGTCGCGTGTATGGTGCGGATGATCGCAGTGTTCGTACGTTGATAGAGATTACACCAAAGTTAGACATATTATCGGGCGCCATGTCGGGAAATCCGCGGGACATGGACGGTTTTATGCCGTTGCTGTCCACGACGGATATAAAGAAAAAACTTTCGATCGGTGATTTGGTACTGAACTACCTAGGTGACCCGGATAAGAGCATCGAATGCCAAGACATCGGACTTTTTATCGACAATGTGATACCATGGCTAACCAACGGCAATCCAAAGGTGAGGAAATGAGCTTTTCGTAAACTGTACTCTTTAAAAGTTAAATGGGTGTGGGTGCGTCTGGGTCGTATCGGACGTTACCGTCGATCTTCATCTCTTCCCCCCTCCCTGTTCGTTTCTTGTCTCCTCCCCTGTCGGTCCGCCTTTCTTTTACAATTCCGTAGGAATCGCGCGGATAGTACGTAGGAAAGACGAACACCCCGTAAACGCTCCGTAAATGGTAAAAGATCCGTCATCGATCATAATGTTCAAATGTCCTACGTGACCAATTTCGATTTGTATCGATAGTTTCTATTAACAACGTATTATTATGGAGTTAAGAGAAAAAATACATTTTCGAGGATAATACAAAATTTAAATAAGTCAAAAAAAATAACGCAAGAATTTTCATTATCGTTGTTAATTTGTGTCGTCATGTATATATGTTATATCTTTTATGCTGCGGTTACGCGCGGATAAAGCACGTGCGAATGCGCGCTCCTCTCTCTCTCTCTCTCTCTCACTCTCCGTCTCTCTCTTTCTTTAGAGTGTAGTCTAGTCGCTAAGCAGTCTAGACACGAGAGATCGTCGCTCGAATTGTAGTCGTGAAGGAAGAGAAAAAAAAAACTAGAAAGAAACAAAGTTGACGAATATCCTTTCTTCGAGTACGCTTTCGTCAGATGACCATGTAGTGGGAGTGGGGTGTGCCGAGTGACAACCCCTCTCCTGCACAATACTCTCTCTCTCTCTCTTTCTCTCTTTCCTTTCCCTCTTCTTTTTCCCTCTTCACTTTCCTCTATATAAACTCTTTCGTTGCGTGCGTACAGAGGTGCTCATTCATCGAAATTATAGGAACCAAATATCGTGCTACTTCTTTCCCTTCCCATAATTTTCCTTCATAAAATTCTAGTTCTTAGTATTCCCCCTTCCTTCCCTTTCTCTCTTTCTCCCTCTTTCTTTCTCTCTCCTTCACTTGTATTAGAAATTTGATAAACAAAATTATTAGTAGGAGATGTATATACATACATAAAAATTGGTTAGTTCATTTTGACATTGATAAAATGTCTCATTTTATATATCATGTAGTATATACACACACACACACACATATACTTGCATTCATGCATTAACTCTTTTGAAGTTCAAAAGTTCAAAAGTTCGAGGATCACCAAGAAGCAATTCAAGTTTCGAATGCTCGTCGGAAGGTGCAAACCGATATAGTTGACGAAATTTACAAGAGTATAGTGTATCGTGTTCTTGTGAAGGGGTGTTATAGGATTTAGTAAACGTTAGTGAATTCGAGACTCCTCGATGATGGGTTTATCCCTATGAACAAGTCCATTCAAGTGGATAAAGACGATTATTCACTTTTAAAATTAGTATAAAATATCTATTTTCCGCTATTCCAAATTCTATTTGTATTCTTCGAATTGTATTGCATTTATTGCAATATGTTTTATTTCGTGTTATTTTACTGATTGTGATTTATATACAAATTATTATAGTGCATATAAAACTTGCTAAGAAAGAAGCAAGTAACTTTTGGGACGACCTTATATAATGCAAGAATTAAAATAGCTTAAACGTTTGCAAACAAAATATTGATAAGTCTTTTCTAATAATAACTTTCTTTAATTAAGTCACGTTTTAAAATACTCCTCGAGAGAAATCTCGTTATTATTATATTATCCTCGCTCATTGTCATCCATTTGCAGTCAAGCGGCAATTGTAATTGTCTATTGTGCCGTATTATCTAATCTGTTAAAAATAAATAAATAAACGAATATAAGAAGAAAATATGCTTGTAGCATTAAAGATTACTGTACCATATATCATATTTGTTTTTAAAATCGTAAGAGTTTTCCTCTTATTCTTGTACCTTTCGTAATAAAATCATTATACCGAGGAAAATTATTGTAATTATGATCTCAGATAAATCTAAATAGATAATTCGGATAAATTGAATATTTGAAAAATTTGAACTTTACAATGATATGAAGTGCATGTATTGGACAAATCATTTTATGACGAGTTCCTACGCGTTACATACTTTTCATCAAAAGGAAAATAAAACGAAAAAGAGAAAAATCCTATGTCAACGATCTACGATGTGTTCAGATGAGTCATATTCCGTAGAATCGATAAAGCAAAACCGAGTTTATATTGCGGCGCGAATACATACATATATACTGTTTTCTCATGCTGCACGGTATGTCCAAAAATGGCGATACTCCTTGAATTTACCGGATTGCATTTTAAGATAATCGCGAGATATTTTTTACTGGATTACGGCTTAAACATGACGGATCTGTTGTACACACGATGTCAGTCGCGTTCTTTCTCAGCGAGTTAGACTCCCGCTGCTTTGAAATTGATTTCTTTCTTGGTTAAATCTGTCGCAGAGTTGAGTTCCTCTCGACGACGACAACAACGACAACACAACGATGACGACGTCATAGAGAACCTCGACTCGTTCGAGATGCATGTCGCATAAGGAAAAAAACTTTCACGCCATGTATGTATATATGTGGAGGAGAAGTGTCCTTTGCTTGCTGTTGTCGCTTGTGCTAAGATTTCCTTCGGTATCCGAGTATTCGACACAACGCATTTATAAAGAACGATTTGAAATAAAAATAGAAAAACAGAGAGATAGAGAGTAATTTATTTATGTAACACATTTATAGAAATCAACATTGAAATATTAAGTTATGTTAAAAGTTTCTTCCTTTTTCTTAGTAAGTTCCTTACATGCATAATATGTTTTATTTGATACTATTTTCCTGTTATTTTGTTTTCTATAGAAATTATGTTAAATATTATATTTTATTTCGTATCTTGTGATTCGTGTAACACCGCGATGGATACTACTTGCAAAAAAGGATAAGAAATTGACATTGTTCGAAAAATGACGCGTCAAACGCGTCATTTTGCGTCGTTATGATGCGATCATCTACGTCATTCTATTGATGGTAACAATAAATACGAAGAACGGGTAGGAAAGAGTTGCTGAGGAAGGGAGGAAAAAATAAATTGTCATTGTTTCTTAAACGTACGTCTGCCTGTCTGCGTCTGGCATCTATAAAAATTCAGTTCTCCTTCGATCGTGCATTCTTATTATGTATTTATGGCAAATGTTTTATGTATGAGACTAACACACATACACGGATGCGTTTGATTTTTATATGTATTGGATTATAGCTCCTTCGCGTGCGCCACCTTATCTACAATTCTATCTACGCATATACACACGCACACTAATGATCAACCCGGTGACACGTAATCTGGACCGTTCACTGCTATATTTAGCATAGTTTTTTTATTGTTTCACGCTTGTCACCTTCTCCAATTCCTACATTACATATTTCCATCCGCTGGATTCATTTTCCCGCCTTGAATTTTTTCTTGTAGCCGCAGTCGCGACTGTGGCGCCATTAGTTTCGAATTCTCTCGCCCCTTCCCCCCCACTTTCTTACTTATTATATATTACCTTCCACATAATAAGACGACGAGTGGTCATTTCTAGTTTTTTCTTTTTCTTCGATGTTTCTCCTTGAGAAAAAAAAAGATGATGATGCTATTTCTCTCTTTCAGAAAATAATATACTCTAAAACTAATAATGATTTCTTTTTATGCTAAAATTATTTTCTATTGAAAAAATGTAAAGACATACGAATAAAAAAATCAGGGTCTAGGAAACTTCGTATATGATGTACATATGTAACATTCCATTTACATTCGAACGACTAATCGGAAAGAAAGAAGTATATACGTTCTAATTACTAACGCGGAAAGCTATCTACTTGTTGCTTTTTCGGTTTGTCATTAACCTACAAATATCGCGTTGTACATACAACATATATGAGCTTTCCTTTTACACAGCTTCCTTTTTACTTTCCTCTTATTTTTCGCTCGATAAATGGAACATTGAAATATCAATGCTGTGTTGGACTTGGCTTTCCTCTTATCGTTATCCAGATAGTCCTTTTAGCACATACACATACACAAAATCTATCTACCAAGGAAAAGAGTATGTATAAGTTATATTCTTAAAAGAGGCACATTTTCGAATAGCAGTGTTTCTTAACGAACGTATACCACCTTCCTAACGAAGATTGCGACTCGCCCTTAATTTTTCGGCGAACGCGCCATTGTTACTGACATTTTTTGGCAAACAGCCTACTGCCCTGTTCGATCCCTACGACAGCTGAACGAATATTGTCTGGAAGTTCGTTCGTGTCTTCTCAAGGGGAAGAAAAATCTGATATCTTTTCGATTACACGAATGGCTTCCTCATACTTCCTTTTTATAAATTTATAAAGCTTTAGTCTATGTTTCCTAACAATGTCACTGGTTCTCCGTTTACGTGACAGTACTACCTAACTGTATACTTGTAAACTTTCTTTCTCTACCGAAAGAAAGTAGCAATCGATACTGTTATAAAAGTTTATTTTGTAGAACAACATTTCTCAACTTAGGAAATATGTTTAATTTTTGATTAAAGCTGTAGAATGATAGTTGCTATCTATTATGCCGAAATCAGAAAAATAATTCACGTATAAGAGATTTCCAGAAGTTACATTGACTTCAATTTACTGGATTCTTAACAATTTGATATTATATCTAAACAATTGTGCCAGTAATTATGATAGTAAAGTAAGTCAAACAATTCGAAAAATTGGTATTATGAAACCATTGGGGTATTCTGTTAGTGTGCTGTTTTATCGAATCTAATCTTTGAATCAAATTTCAATTTCATACCTTAATTATTCGTCTCTTGTGAAATCTTATTTATAAAAGTATGTAATTCTGCTTTCTTTCATAGTTTAACAGGTTAGTATAGTTATTTCATGGATTTGCTGGCTATTTTATGACTTAACGGATTCCAAATTTTAACGGTAACATATACATGCAAACAATACTTGTAACTATTATAGATGTAAAACTTTGCTTCTGCTGTTTTTAACACCGTTTTAAACGTTGAAATATATAACTATAATTTACATTTGTTATATATTTATAAGAATTTTGCGATCGAAGAAAATCATACGTATGTAAATATCTCACACGTGACAAATGCTGTGACTTTCTCGAGTTTGACAATTAAAGTAAAGAAAATGAAAATGTCCGTTAGAGTAAATTCGCGCGTAAAAGAGTTACATCCAAATGTTTGAATTAGTTGCAGAAAAATTTAATGTTTCTTGTATTTCGCGTATAATCACAAGTCTTCGAGATGTGATTAAGATTTTCGGAAACGACATTAGTGGTGAAAAGTAATGTGTGATGGCAAGTCTAATAATACGGAATTTATGTTTGGTAGCGCGAGGGATGTGGGGGAGGGAAGAGTAATAAAAAGCTTCAGTACTGGGCAGTGATGTCACAGTCAGATGAGAGAGAGAGAGAGAAAGCCCTCAGAGAACGTTTACCCCGTGACTTTAAAATAGGTTTATATGCCTATGTATAGCGCTTCGTTAAAACGCATTCAAAGGTTCAACTACATACGGATTAGACTTTCTTAGTAGGTATATGTAAACATCGATTGAAGTTCCCATGTAACTTTTATCTTCGATTTATTATCTTCCTTGTTCGCGCGTGGTCATTTTTCTTTCATCGTTTCTCTCTTGATTTTACTAGCATACGTGTATCTTAGTTGCGTACGTTTAAAACTCAATAATATGTAATATATGTGTTTATAATTTTATTTTATGATTAATTTAATATTATTGATAATTTTAACAAATCATATAACTCATTTTTTCCATTATTTGACTTTGTCTATTGTAATTACTGGTACATATCGTTCAACGTGTTCGTTTTGTTTTAATTAACAAATTCTTCTCTGTGAGTGATTATTTACAATCCACGCTAATATTTTTTTTTAACTAGAGATACTTGATGAGTTTTTGCGAATTAAACAACAAAATATATAGAGTCCAACTAATTTGTGTGTAAGTTGAAATTATAATTAAGAAAATAAACGAAATTACCTTACACATTTTTAACGTATATACAAATATTTAAATATTGATAGCTTTTATAAGCAACTTCAGGTAACTAACTAACTTTTACTTAAGAAAGACTTTACTTAAGTAGTAAAGTTAAGTTACTATATATATATATATAGAATATTAAAAGGAGTACACAAATATTGAAAGTCTCAGAAACATCGGTGTATAGTTTCGACAGTTTGACAACTTACTCTTGTATTATAAAATCTCTAGGCATAATAAACGTAATTTCGTGTCTTAAATTAATAATAACCATAAATGTTCTGCCCCTAAGACGGTAAGCATTTATCGCTATTTACTTGCTTAAATAATTTTGTAAAACAAGTAACCTACGAGGTAAAACAGTCTTTAAGAATAGAAGAAGAGCAATCATTCATTAAAAGTGTACAGCAAAAATCATTATTAGGATCCATCTACGGGTCTCTTTGTATATCCCATTTGCGGATCTCTTTGTACATCCCATTGGTTGTTTTGACTGATAATATTCCTCACTGTTTGTCCACGTTCAGTTGTATTTCCGTCACTCAGCAAGCACCCAGCGTATCGATGCTTTATCCTCCTTGATGAGGATTAGGTTATTCACCTTAAAATCCCTTGTCGGCCCATGGCGCCACTTGGTGCTAATCTTTAGCTCTCCAAAATAAATCTTTGGTGCTATCTTGTTCAGATTTGTTGTCCGAGCCTTGGAATCTCTCTACTAGTAGTTATATTTAAATCATAATTGACGTATTACGTAATTAGAACATGCTCTGTGCAGTATCGATTCGACACAAATGAAACTGTTGATTGAAATGATACTGTTGACTGCAATTTTTATCCTAACGCAGGAGTCTTTTGATTTCTATTGGCCTCACAATAATGCGTAGGCGTTGTTATTGTTGTTATTGGCACGCATTATGCCTTCTGTCACATGTCCAACAACCATATGATTAATATTGTGTGATATATAAATAATAATAGCATACTCTCGTGTGTTTTATCTGATAATTATCTGAGTTACTCATTCTTGAGGACTCATTTCCTAAGAATTGTTCGTATTTTTGTACGAAATGATTATTACTATTGATAGGAGCACATTATTGCCTGATTAGTTCCTACCTACGATTGCCGTTGGTATTCGTTTTGGTTCGTTGCCCGGAACGTGTTATTAAAAACTATGTCAGTCGATATAATTTCCGTTGAACAGTTTAAATGCTGGATTGAGGAAGTATCGCTTGATTCATGGTATTGACCGATAGAATTGGTGTAATCTTTTGTTGTTAATTGCTATTATAAAGCGTGTATAAACATTGTAGTAAATTTATATATATTTGCTGCAGTTTTAAAATACTGTTTTTTAAATTCGATAAGGATTCGTTCATAATTTTCTTGTGAAAATAATTTTTTGTACAAGTTATTCATTTGAATTCTGGAACATAGCAAAAATCGCTTTGTGCTATTGTATGGGTCTAGTCTATATTTATATCATAAAGATCTTATTTGTTAAATTTCGAAATCGTTAGAAGTGAGAATAGGCGGAGCAAATGAAGATTTTCTCTTGACTGTGTATCTCTCCAAGGGTGTGTTTTCCTGATATTTCTGCACAATAATAATGGCACATGCTATACTGTTTTTATTTTAATGATACGATTTCCGGATTAAACGAAACTCCTGGAAAGAGTTTGTAAAGGGACGGGGAGAGGGGGGCTGGTTAGGGTGAAAGGGGAGTGAAAACACGTTGCATTCGCTTCCTAGATGAGAAAACGCAACGAGTACCGGCTTTTCGGCGAGTGAAGCTCCCAGACACAACATAATTACGAGAAAGAGGGAAAGTGCAGCAAGAGGGTTGCCGCGATTTTTCAACTTTAAGGGAACTTTATACGAGGGTTGCTTCCTTGTCCGGATCAATACGGTCTCGCCCTCTATCACCGTCGCAGTCGGTACTACCACTACCGCCACTGAAATCTAACATTTATCGATGCCAATTCAATTACGTTGTGCCGATAGCCAACCCCCCTCCTTAATGTTTCACCATGACATTGCTACCCTTTCGACCGATCCCTATCTGCTTTGAAATTGATACCACCTCTTTTAAAAAGATTAGCAAATTTTCATACGTTGCCTACGGAGATAAGAAATAAAAAATGATTTGTTATTTATTATTATTGTTATTCTTATTAAGGGATGGTATTGGTTGTATAAAACGAAATATGCTGCAATAAATAACATTCGAATAATAAAATTTAATTGGAATGAAAATATTTTTAAAAAAGAAGTAGTTTTCATCATATCTTTTTAAGGTTTAGAGAATAATATTTATAATGCGATTAATTATATATAAAATAATAACATGTCCCCGAAATTAAATAATACAAAATGCATAGGAGTATTATATATTAGGTTACCCGAAAAGTTCCGTCGCGTATTTTACTTAAAATATATATTTATAGATCAGCACACACGAACTTTCCAGGCAACCCAATATATGCTTGACTTGTAGTCAGTTTTTATGAATCATGCCAGATAAAATAGAAGTCTTGAAATATCTTGACAATCGGGTTTAATTGATCACGTTAACTTCACATCAGATTTAATCAATTGTCTCGAGTACTTATACGTGTATTGTATGTTACTGTTATTCTTATTCTTCTTGCAGGTCGTTCAAAATGGGTTGGAGATCCTCACGTATCTTGCCGATCGGATGGGTCATGATTTCAAGCCTTATATTTCTACAGTAATACAGCCAATGATAGATAGGCTAGGTGAGTAATGATAAGCCATCTTTTAATTCAATTTTATTACACTTTTCCAATAGAAACGTGTTAGGTAGTCTATTGAAAAATCGACAAAATACGTCAAATCGGGATTTTGGCGTCAAGGTGGTCGTTTACGGGGAAAACTTGGCGCAAGAACAGTCAAGGATTTTCTAATTAGCCCCACCAACAAACTGCTGTACGTTGAATCATAGTTAATGACGAGATGAGTTCCAGATAGAACAAACTCGATCGACGTTTTAAAGGCCTTTAACGAGGTTGAAGACTATGACAGATGTCAACCTTATTTGTCCACAAACTTGGCCTCTCCTTTGCTTTTTCTTTGTCTTTCTAACTTACCGGTGTTAACGATGTTTAAGGAATTTGGTACGAATTAAATTTTAGTTTTACTCTCGACACCACATTTCTATATTATTTTTGTTTTTATTATTTTTTATTTCCTTCTTTTTTTTTTTTCTTTTTTTTTTTCTTTCTTTTAATTTTAATTTCGCATACGAGTCTCTATGTTTTATAATATTTCCTTTGATTATATCAAGGGTGAAAACGCTTAATATATTAGATGGTTGATGAAATTTTTAAAAGGCTCGCCTAAGTCTCATGTAGATGTATGTTAGTGAGTCAAGGTTTAAAGTGGATTGAACGTAACTTGGTTGAGGTTAACCGGCATAATTTGTAAATAAGGATTTCTAGTTTCTACGTAATTAGATAAGAATTTTCTATTCCTTTTACATATTTCTTTCTCTGTTAATCGCTCATTTTCGAAAGGATTAACCTTTAGCTTTCTATAATACGACCACAAAGAAGAGTGGGACAGGTTTTTCTCATTTGTTATGTTTTATTACGTTATATAACGTTCTTGTGTTTGCTCGGCTTTAAAACACATTTATGTACATCTATACATATCCTAGGACAAATAACAAGAAAATCCTGCATATTTATATAAAAGATACTTAATCTATTGTATCACCGTTTCTTAATGAATTAAACACACGGCTATTATTTTCACTATGGTCTCGTTCGTTTTAACTTAAGAGAAAGAAAGAAAAAAGGACGTCGTGATTCAAGAAGAATTTTCATGTTAATTAATACGGAAGAGAGAAGGACTGTGAGAAAATTCTTCCTTCTTGAATTTAGACGGAGAGAAAACACGCGTGAAAGTCATTCACATCAAACACGTTGTCGTAGAAAGACACGTACATGTGTGCATATGTATCTCTAAAGACTTCTTAACCATCTATAACGCCTTCTATGTTACTTTAACATTAAACCTAACACTATCGGTCAAATTAATCATTTTTAAACATTTATACAACTTTAACATATTTAAATGCTGTCACATCACTGTCAAACTTTATTTTTTTTTTTTTAAATATGCATACAATGTATTTTGTAATATTTACTTTTCGTTTAATTTTATTGTACTGCTTTATTACGTTTTGCTTAATTACGTTTGTAATTACTAATTGTTTAAAATTTCACATAGTTAATAGCGTTCAAATGACTTGGACTATTCGGTTTTCAGCTAATGATTTTCAAATAGTGTAGTACTACGTTACCGGTACCCGGCTAAAAATTTTGCAAATGATGCAAAACAACGTTACATATTGCGATGAATACATTGTTTTTTAATAAAATTCTTTTTGTTTAACAGGTGACAGCAAAGATGCGACTAGGGAGAAGGCTCATTTGGTTCTTCTTAAAATCCTGGAGAAGGGTTGTTTGACACCCCAACAATTGTTGGACAGATTTCGTCCTGCCTTCACCCATAAAAATGCTAAATTAAGAGAAGAAGCATTGGTTTTATTAACGACAACCTTGAACGAGTAAGTAAAAAAATATATACTGTTCACAGGTCAAAACGATTAACTCCACTTTCTAAATTTTTACAAATTTTATTACCAATGCGCTTGACTAATATTTCACTTTTAATCTTTCAAATAAATGTCCTTAAAAAATAGTAAAGCTTAACAACATTAAATAAGAATAATTTGTATGGTCTTTCAATAATAAATAATACGATAATGCATATTACTTTAATTAATCTTCTTTACTTTTTGTATTTTTGGGGTTAATCGATTTGACACTTGAGTACAATTTATTTTTATATTTTACATTATTCAAATTTATTATTTATGTATTGTTCAGATATTTTTTATGTTTATTTCTTTTAAGGCATGGCGCAGACGAGATGGCTCTCTCTGGTGTGATTCCCAGTATCGTCAAACTACTCTCGGACCCGTCCGAAAAAGTTCGAGAAACTGCATTAAACACGCTAACGGACATGTACAGACACATTGGCGAGAGGTTGCGCGTTGACTTGCAGAGGAAGCACAATGTGCCGCAAGCCAAGTGAGCGAAATAAGAGAAATCGATCTTTGGCCCTTTGCCTGCATTAATTCGATGAACGGCTACGTTCGATCCTTTCAACATAAGAACTTGCGGTGTCATATCTAATTTCTAACGTGGAAGTACCGATATCCGTTCATTTTACACGATCAATTGGTCTGTAAAAAGTATTCAAGTATTATATATGTGTGTGTGTATAATATTAATATTTTCACGTATATATATATAAATGTGACACCGCATTTGTATCCGTAGTAATTAGATTCGTTATTATTATTATTCTTATTGTTGTTTATATACGCAAAGTCATTTAGTTTTTTTCGTAAAAATATAGTTTTAATAAGTTTAAGTTGTTAAAAAAGAAGTAAGTAAAGGATGAAAACTCTAAAATACTTCTTATTTTTAACAAGATCGATTTTTATGTAGATGATATATTCAAGAGAGAAACGAGTAGTGATAAATTTTTTATAAAACGCTTAGGAGAAAAAAACTTGGTGGAAAGTTACAACTGATGTAGGAACATAAATTATTTTATCCTTCTTTTTTCCGTATTATAAGTAGAAGTTAGGTAAAAACGTGTTGCGAATCTATTTGCGTATAGTACTTTCCTCCATGAATTAGTAATATTTATATTTATATTTGTATTATTTGTGTTACAGACTTCTCTTGTTGATTAAAAAATTCGATCAATTGAAAGCATCCGGCGATTTGTTACCTCTCGCAATGTCATCCGATGGTGAGTTAATTATTTTATATATTTTTTCTTTTTTATACGAGTTATTTTTGTACAAAGTTAAAATCTTCAATTTAATTTTATAAAATATCAGATCATTAAAGATTAGTTGTTTTCCGTACGACTTGGCCCGATTGATTTCTTTGAAATTTTATAAATAATTTTTTAAATAATTTTCGAATTATTTTTTAATAACTTAAAAATACGGATTATAATATTCTCTCTCTCTCTTTTTAAAATTTCATATCCTAATATAGAGATAAGATACTATGAGAATTTATTAAAAAACAAATCCTGTAGTCGCATTATTAAATAGTATTCAACGTAGGAGTTTGCATCGTGCTGCCATCCAGGAGAGACAAAGGTTAACACGTACCATACATCTTTGCATTTGCAAATTCACCTTCCGTTCAAACTCTCTTTCTCTTTCTTTCTTTCTCTATCTATCTATCTACCTATCTATCTATCTACCTCTCTCTCACCTTTTCTAACTTCTTGCATACACGTTACTTCATGAATATTCAGCGAATACCGCTTCTTCGTCAATACGATAAGAATACTTCTTCGCGTACACAGTACTACCTGGCATTAGCTAATTTTAATTTAATTGCACTGTAATGCAACCTCTTCTTCATCAGACTCTTTCTTCTTTCCCGACAAGCGAGACCGAGTGTATTGCATCGACGATGAGCAAGGAAACGCGATGGCTTGCGAGAGAGTACTTATGCGCTCTTTAAAAAACCTATGATCTATCTTTCTTTTTCATTCATTCATTCATTCTTTTTTGCCTCTTTTTTTTTTTTTTTTAAATGAACCAAGTGACCTGAAATTCTTTTGTCGTCAACATTCGTAGATGATTCAAAGTTCATACGAGACAAACTTCAAAACATTACAAAAATGATAACATTTATAAACGTCATTTTTTCGTGTTGGAAATATAATGAATTTCCTAATTCTTCTTATCTGTATCGCGCTTACATAATATTACGTTTGTAGAGTATAACTGTAGTATCGTAAATACGTACTATATATATATATATATATATTCACATATACAAATGCATGCGTATCGATAGATATACGGTAGCACGCAATATCGGCGGTATATTCTTTCAAACGTCGCCTGTAAAAAAAAAAAAAAAATCTATACCAAGTTATAGAACATGTCTCGCTCGAAATCGCCGGCCTTGTAACGTTGTACGACTACTGTCCCCTTCCTATATAGAGTATTCAAATTTCGGTCGCAAATATTACATGTCGCACCGGCAATCGAATACTTGTGACGTATTAAACCAGTAAAGTCTTCTAGTGTAAATATGAGGCTTTCGATCATTCTGATATGAAAAAAAAAAACAAAGAGAAAGAAATAAGAAAGAGAAGATGCGATCCAATGATTCACGTCACGCGTGGATTCTGCTAATGATCACGTAATCGATCTTATGTTTCTTCTAATGACAATAAGAATGAAACGAAGAAGAGAGATAGAGAAAAAAATGGAAAGGAATCCTCATGTTATAACTTCCTCCTACGTAACGTTATAGCTTCGTGGAAAATACAATACGACGATCTAAGGATTTTGTTTAAATCGAGGTCTTTTCATTTCTCAAGTTTCACATCAAATTCATATTGATGATTAATTTCATTCTTTCTATAAATTAATTTTTTTTGTTTTCAATTTTCTACAAAAATATTTAATTGCCCGAAAAGTTAATGCTGGGTTATATATAAATCTATATTCGATTATTATTTTTAATATATTTTATACATAAATTTATTTCAAAGTCAATACCAAATTTTTGGGCAACCTATTACTTATATTTAATTTAGTTTAATACTTCTATACGGTTTAATATTATCTATACCAATACAATTAATTATATCATAGTAATTGTGACTTACATTTTAAAAACATTACACACATTTTGAATATAAAGTAATAATATTTATTTCGTAAACAATAAAATAAAACAAAACATAAAAATTAGATTAGATTTATTAGATATTTATAAGAAAATATTAAATTATTTTTTTTTTTTTTTTGGCATAACTAAAAACAAGCAATGTTTGGCAACAATGCTGCTGGTAGTAAAAATTCAAAGAGTTAATATATATTTTATTGGTATTGGTCGATAACTCTTGGTAATTATGTAGGAGTGTCGTATTGCGATACAAGACATGAATAGTTAAAATCCTTCATACATATTTACCTATCAATATTCGTCAAATTTGTCACGATGGTTCTTGATTCCTTTGCTTTATAACTCGCTTCGTAATTCGTCGTTCGTCGTTTACATTCGAACGGACAAGCTGAAGGAGCGTGACTAGGAGAACCTAGTCAGCTTTCTTCGTTATCCTCTCTGTCAGCTAACTAACATGTCCGTTCTTTCCTTCATGCTGTTACACCTCGTGAATACGCATCGATCACGATTAGGTCATACATGGGCTCGGCAGAAGTCACGATGGTTCGGCTGATCTCAAAGTTATTAATAGAACTCAAAATAACCGTGAAAAGATAATTGTCTAACATATTTTTCAATCGATCAAACAATTGTCATTTCCGTTTGTAATTTTAAATAACTTCTAACTCAAGTTCTTTTTCCTTTCGAGATTCTTCATAAACCGAAGTGGTCTTATTTGAATTTTTACATTTTTCTTTCATCTTTATTCCCTCTTTTTAATCCAATGAATAGAAATTATTCATTTATTATGTATGCATACCGGGGGGTGGTATCCTAAAAGTTTTAAATCAAATTAAAAGAGGTGATAGAAAAAATCATTTCCAATAAAAAAGTCTTATGTATAGTTATCTATTTATTCCATTTTATTAGAAACTTTTTTTTTTTTTTAAATAATATAGCCACAAAAATATTTTAATGTGAAAATCATATTTAACAAAACTACCCTTAGATTTCAGTCTTAAGAACAATAATATAAAGTAAGAGCTTCGATTAAATTTATTTACAGTAAGAAAAACAGCATTTTGTACATCTCAAAAAATTCTATTTTAATACATAATAAGTATACACTGACAAAGAAAATTATGTTTGATTCGCGTTTGGGGGGAGCGCATTTGATTATTACAAAGAAACAAACACGTATAACTTAAAAACAATGAGGAATCGATATACATGAAGCTTTCTTTGTTGGAAATAACCTCCCTTATTACTTCCTTTATATTGATCCATGACTTTAGAGACGTTGAAAAGATTTAATTGACAATCGAAATTAATTGAAAGTTAGATAGTAAATCCATCTTAATCACGCGACTTCGTTGTCTCTATGGTATAAATTGTATAGACGTGAACACGTGCACAAAAAGTGAAAGGTAGTGCCGGTTAAGGTGGTATATAACGTAGATTTATCTGTAGTATGCACAGTTTTACGTAGCACGATACGTACAATCAGATATGAAATACAGAATGTTGCTGGTGCCCTTTTTATCATTGACCGGACGTTCTTTAACTGGTGCCCTGTTAACTTTCAGGTCACTCGATTGACTTGACTTCGGTACGTGGTGTAACTTGAGAACTCACGTTTATAACGTTATAAACAACTAATGTAATCGCGACCATAATCGCGGTCAAAGAATTATCAAAGAAAATTGTATCTCTCTCTCTCTCAATATCTACTTTTACAGGCACGATCAATAAGACGCAATGAGACAAACGTTGTTTCAATTTAAATAAAACTAAACGACGCTAAACAGTTTAGATACGAGTTTTTATAATTAACATAATCAATGTAGCATATTATCTCAAGTTAAAACAACGGTACGTATCATTGAAATTTTTATCCTTAAACTTTTCTTACTCGAGATCGTTAGATTATAAAAATAAATAAAATAAGAAAAAAAAAAAGAATACAGACGATCGTTGTTATTTACCGAGCAAAAATTTCCGATTAGATGCGTTATAAAGAAAAATAAAAAAAGAATTTTGGACGAAGATGGGAATGCAAATTATTATAGATCAGAATTATCTTTGAATGTTAGTTTTAAGTTTATGATGGCTGACGATATACGGTATAAACGTATGTTTACGTACGATAATATGCAACGTATATGCAATATTATGTAATGTTGTTGGCTGTGCCATTATCACCTTCCTTATGTAGCTTAGTAAATACGAACACGTATGTTAGCGTAGGCTTAACCAATTTTTCTTAGCAACGTTGTTTCATGTATAAATAAACGATTTGTGGGTTCGATGTTCCTCTTCTTGAACTAATATGAAATTCAATAGCCGGTATCATTGTCATGCGTGAGAAATACTCCGAATCGTTTATTTTATTCTAATCCTCTCTTTCCACTTATGCTAAACATATAACCTCCACGAAATCGGTAAATTTGTACTCCAGTAATAGTGCCATGATAATGTATACTATACTATAAATAATAAAAATAGTATATATTGTTATATTATATTATATTATACATATACTTATACATATACATACATGAGAGTGTCCCAAAAGTCGCTTTACCAAATTGAAAAATTATACATTTTGTTTGGCAGCTATTTGAAGTTACGGCATAGTAGGCCCATATTGCAACACTGTAGCTGAAGATTCATAGCTTGAAATAAAAAATAAAATATTATAATTACTAGATATATATGTATACACAACGTTATAACAGTTTTTATTACTGTATACTATTACTATATATTATTATACTAGTTTATAATAGTATATTTTATTATATAATAATACAGTAAATAATAATATACAGCAATATAGTAAAAAGCCATTATACCATACAAAACTTTAACAAATATCAAAATTATCTTAAATTATCGATCTACGATTTGCATAAATTTTGTTCATTTTACACCGACTTCATTTTCTGTGAAGTTTCTTCTTTTTTTTTTTTTTTCTATTTCACATCATCTATTTACGTCGTTTTGTTATTTCGACGAAGGTCACAACCAAGCTATGAGAGAGATCCATCGAAAACAGACGCTATGGAATTTATTTGTATCTTACATATATTTTTATTTATTCGTATTTCGTGTTACGCAAAAAAATCATAGAATCTAGCGAGAGTATATACAATATACATAAGTCGTGACATTAACGACTTACAATTCGCCGAAGATTGTCGCATGGAGGAAATTCCTGACTATCGGCATTGTCGATTGAATGCCCGTTAATAACGTTCACGTTGCCTCTTTTGCTTTCTCCTGAGAACTCCGTTGACATCAATGTAAAAATATATTCCGAGTAGAAAACATTTTCTAATTCTTTTCCGTTTAACTTTCGTATCGTCAATTCTAAGAAGATCACAGGCTTGAAATTAAAATTAAGTCACGTCATTTTGTAAAATAGAAATGGCACCTAAATGTCATCGATTTTTTTTTATATGCGATCTATACAAAAAGTAGTCTGTTTTTTTTTAACTTTTTCATTGTTAAAAAATAATCTTTGTTATTGGGTAAATTTTTGGTTACAACATATGTAATTGTAATGGTTCCTTTCTACTGTATTTATTATATAGATTATAAAAGAATTGATAACAGGATACAGTCCTAATAAAAGAAGAAGAAGAAGAAGAAGATAAAAAAGATTGTGTATATCTCAGAGTGTGAAACAACTATTGCTGTGTTCGTCCTTTTTAAATCCTGGCTGGCGCCTCAGCCAAAAATATTACTTCCAAGTCTAGACACACAAATGAGCCCGGTCATTTGCCAAATCGATTAACTTTACAAAAAAAAATAAAGTTATACGTTGTTTATCATTTATTTATTCCGTTTTATTATATACTAATTAAAAATATTTATAATTCTTTTAAAATATATCTGTGTGCTTTTAAACACTGAAAATATAAAAGACATATTTTAAAATCAAATTTAATAAAAAAAATCGTACTCTTAAAAATTTATTAAGGATAATATTTTACAAAAAATGATAGTAAGTATATATATCAATATTTTTGTTTGATATACTATCCATGTAAATTTTCCCTTTTATTTTATTCCACGATCTTTAATTGGGTAACCTCGATATCATGCCGTGTAATCAAGAAATGAAACTTATAGTAATAGGAAGTGGGAAACGGAAAGATGAAAAGGAATTTCCGATAGAGATTCGCATCGCATGTTCCCTCCCTATGTGTTATCTGGACCCTCGTGATCGAAGCATTTGGGGCAACGATGGAGGAAGAGAGCTTTGTGGTGTTGCCCCTTCCCCCACCTCTTTTTCTCTTAGCCAAACCTGGGGAGTCTTTCGACGAGACACGCCGCAGTTTAGTTTGCTTCGCGAGTCGAGTCGCGAACAACTTGCGAATCGGTAGTAAAAGTGTCGAACTTCGTGTAATTTATTACAATATATTTAGAAATTCACGAAGCCTCGGTATATTTGTATAATGATTATATGTAAATCTTTATGTATTAGGTGTAGCAATTATATTTGGGGTGCCTTTTTCTAAACAAATTTATTTATAAATAAAAGTAATCATGCATCTGTTATTCTTTCAAATGGTCTCCATTATTTTCGATGACTTTTGTCCATTTTTTAAGCAATTGCCGAATTCCTTGGCAATATAAAAAGATGGCGATTTTGATAATTGATGAATTTAATATCAAGGCACCTTATTATTTGCTACACATAATTATATGCAAATGTACCGGTGGAACACGCGTTGAATTCACACTTACTAAATAGATCTTTGTTTGTTGCATTTTAATTTTTTTGTTTTTGTTTTTGGGTTTAGAGGGACGGGAAGAGGACTCAATTGTGCGTTTATTACATTTGACGTAATTATTTACCTTTTCGTTTTTCATTCCCTTTTCTATTATCTTTTGTAAAATGTTTTACGTCATTAGCAATAATTATTCCTACTTATGTAGATACGGTTCTATGTAATATTTAACTTTATCTATTTATATTCATACACATTCAATGCTTTCAGGTGGTCGATGACGGACGTTAAAAAAAATTCATTTGCTATTAGTTACATGGTATATATTTTTATATTTTTTTTTTTTCCATTGTCCTTGTCCGTTCTGATATGCATAGATTATTCGAAGCTCTTATAATAAAAATTAGAATCGTGTAACGATTGAACGTAATAAATGTATATGGCCGTGAGTAAATACTAAAGCGCGTATATGTTCAAATAAAGGAAAACAAAAAATAGAAGCAATAATGTACGTTAGAAGTGATAAAGCGATGGTAAAAATATTGACTCGTGGTTTAAACATATATATATATATCTTATAAGAATAAATATCGATCGGAGTAAAACCGCAAGTGTATATTAAAACTATATCTTTTGTGTTTATTTTTTATTATTCAAGACTGGTACAAACACGTGCTTCAATTCCCCTCGCAGTCACGTTGCGTCTTTAGTCCTTTCTCTTTGTTGTGTCGCATCAATCGAGGGTCCCAGGGCTGTATTAAAATTAAATATTTCCCCGATCATCCATTGTTCGTTCTTCTTTTGAATGTTAAGAGAAATAAAATCAATTTAACCATATATTTTTCAAGAAAAACAAAATAATAATCCTTATTTTTATTACATCATCCAGTTTTATTTATATTTCATTTATTTCGCAAATTTTGGAAATAGTACCCAATGTTATTTGAATTTCTTAATTTCAATTTTGAAGTAAACAAATTATATTTTTTTCGAGTAAAAGTACTAATCCTTATTGTTGCAATATTTTATATTATAAAATGTAGATCTTTTCTTAAATGTTTCAATAATATTTCGTTTCATCGCAAATTGATAACAGCTTAATGTAAACCGAATTTCTATTCGATGCCAATTATCTTCTGTGTTTATCCTATAATATATCGTTCGTTTAATTATCTCGCCTTTCATGTGTGATAATTGTCAACAAAATCTCGATTTCTTAATTTGAAGTTGATTAATTCATGAATAAATTTGTGTGCTTATTTTAACATTTTATGAGTAAATATTTTCTTGTTGATATAGAGAAGAAATAAATTTTGAAAAAAACGTTTCGTGACAATGTAAACTTCAGTGACGTGCTTTTTGTTGAAGGTTGCGTCGCCTCGTGTTTATTTCACATATCTCATACAAATGATATTGTTTCTATAGAATTTAGTTAGTCTTAAATAATCCATAGTTAATATTAGCAATTAAATTAGAGTTGTCGTTAAGAGAGCGTGGATAGAAAATAATCTTCGAAATAAAATGAAGGGGTACTTTCACTGCACGTGTACACGCAATGAATTAAGAATTTCTCTTTAGAAGTGAGAAATACGTTACACTTTCTTCAATTTTTTTTATCCAATGTGATGTAAAGTATCATGATGATCCTAATCGCGTCGGTGTAATCTAAAAAAGAGAGAAAACTTGATTATTCCTTGTGTACTACGAGTATATAAATAAAAGGAAACTTTCAGAGACTTTTAAGATTTTATTTGGAACAATATTTATGAAATATTCAAATAACCATATATTGTATACAATCTATACACAATGTATAAAAAGTGTTATCATGAAAATATCGCGTGAGTTATGTTATTTTTATAGACATAAATTAAAAAGTATAAAAGAAAAAGTGTATTGATTTAAAAAAAAAATATATATATATATCCTTTTAAGTGTGTTCGAAATGAATGGTAATGAAATATTGGTTCCGAGTGGACATCGTTGTCCACATCGTGGATTAAAGAAGTATCCTAGTATCGATAAAAAGATATGGGATGTTAGTAGTAAATGGATTCTTCAATGGGATAATATCGTTAAACATCCTGGTGCAAGAGCTAGAGGATGTCATTGCGATATACATAAACCGCCATGGTTATATCCTGAATTAGGTACATTCATTGTTATCCATACTGTTTCTCGATAACTATCACTAACTAGATTTTCTCTAGCTGTTTTGTTTCTCTCAAATTATAATATATATATATATATTTCTTTTTTGTTGCAGTTGGTAAAGACACTGATGAGCCTGACAGAATGGTAAATAATAATATACACATTTTAACCCTTTTTATACTACCAATAACTACAGTTACCTAATGTTTGATGCTCATTGTATACTATCAATGACTATAGTCACCCAATGTTGTAAACTTTCCAGTACCCTACTGGTGACTATAGTAACCCACTGATATTTAAATTTATAATTAAATTAGATTTAAAATTATTAATATCTGAACATCTTAAAACGAATTCAATTCTAATATCTTATAATTGTATCAAGAAGGTTCATTCATAATAGAGATAGAAAGATCTTTTACAAATCTAAGTGTTTCTACATTGCAGATTAAGTCAGCACCTTCGAAAAGAACGGCTGCACCTCTCAAAAGAGGCCAATTTGGCCCAGCAAAGACACCAAGTTCTGCATTAGGTATATACAAGATTTATTGTTTATTGACCTGCAATAACTGCATATAATTATTATCAAAAATGGATAATGTGTTGGTGTAACAAAATCAATGCATTCAAAAAAAGCAATACTTTTTTTTTATAGTTTGTATTTAAGCTTGCATCATTATTTATTTAAAATGCATTTGTATATTCTATACAAAATTAAACTTGTTTAGCATATTTAACATATTATTTCCATGTAAATTTTATATTTATCGTAATGTTATTAACAATACATATTGACATTTATTAATAATTACTTCTAGAACATCTATCATGTATCTTTTTTTGTTTTTTTGTTCACTAGCTTTGATTGATATTTTTACTAAACATAATTTTCATACACACATTTATTTTGATAAATTTTAATTATTTCATATATGTGTCGTAATTTGTCTGTTAACATTATAAAAGTAGCACATTTTCATGCATTTGCTGCACATTTGTGCGCTGGAATATAATATGATCCTTATGCTTATTTATTATTTTGTATTGCTATTTAATCATGATATATTATTTTTTAAAGTTTTGTTATTCAAGCATCAATAAAGTATTCATATTTTGCTAATAAGATTGCTAACAATTTGCTTGCATGACAGCTACGCCTATACATGCAACGGTTCTACGAGCCACAACCGTCAGTAGGTCTATGCCACATAGATTAACATCAGGTATCTACAATTTTTATTGGCAATTTTTTTTGCTACTTTAGCATTATATTGTTATCTTCTAATTAAATATATACATATAACTGCTAGAGTAGTAAATATTGATAAATTATTAAAGTAATAACTAAATAATTATTCTATGCAAAAGCTTATTTGAATAGAACAAGTTATTTTGGTCATTTAACTATGTGCATTTTGTTTTTATGGTTTTTATCTATATGTTGTGTGATTGTTTCCACTATTGCATATAAACACATAAATGTTATAGTAAGATGCTTTTTTATAATTATATTATAATTCCATTATTTTATTTTTAAGTTTAAATACACTAAAGTTTTAATAGAGTAATTTGTCCAATAGCTCTATTTCAAATCTGAATGATGACTTTGTTATTGATAAATTTGATGATATATTTTAAAATACATACCTATTTATTTTTATTTTAACTTTATAAAATACCTAGGTCAAGCTGGTGCTGTAGATGAAGAAACATTTTTAACATCGTTTGAGGATGTATTAATGGTTAATTTATTCTCTGCAAAGGATTTGGAAGAACAAATGAAAAATATTAAAGATATTATTGGAGATGATAAGAAGGACTGGAAACAAAGAACAGAGAGTGTATGCATTTTTTAAATTTATGCTATTTCGCAATTTTATGCCATTATACAAGTTATATATAAATTGTATCCTTACAGATGAAAAAACTTCGAGCAATTGTTCTTGCCGGTGGTATGAACTATGAGAATTTTTTGGATTGTCTTAAAAGTATACAGCGACCATTTGAAACTGCATGTACAGATCTTAGGTCACAGGTTGTTAGAGAAGCTTGTATTACTTTGGCATTTCTGAGTCAGCATTTAAAGACCAAGTTTGCCAGTTTTGGAGAATCAGTTCTTTTGACTCTAATGAACCTCATACAGAATAGTGCCAAGGTAATGTTGATACTGTATTTGTGAATAATATATAATTAGTAAATATATGTATAGATAATACATTTTTTGAAAATAGATAAAAAATAAACAAATTCATTAACGCGTTTGTAAATCTTGCTTTCCAAATAGAAAATTCAATTCTGTTAAGTTATTTAGTTAATAACACGAAAGAACTCTAAATTAACATATATCATTATTATATTTGTTACATCATTAGGTCGTGGCAACAGCAGGGGCTGTAGCAGTTAGGTTTATCCTTCAAAATACACATTGCAGTCGATTCATCCCAATCATTACATCTTCGTTAAATAGCAAGAGTAAAGACATTCGTCGGGCTTCGTGTGAATATTTAAATTCAATTTTACAAACGTGGCCTACTCAAATGTTGCAAAAACATGTAATGGTGTTGCAAGAGGCTATTAAAAAAGGAATCGCTGATTCTGATTCTGAGGCAAGAGTATTCGCCCGAAAGTAAGTACCGATGAATTATATTTCTCTCAAACAGATTATAATTCTTAGTCATATCTGTTTAGATCGTATTGGGCTTTTAAAGAGCATTTTCCGGAACAAGCAGAGATACTTCTTAACAGTCTTGATGCAACATACAAGCGTTCACTGATGTCTCTTAGTAACAGCGGAAGCATCAACAGTTTAAATGTAGTAACACGATCAACAAGCGTTAGTCCAAGAGCATCAAGACCTGCGTTAAGTGCCACAGGTAGATATTTTAATTAGTAATACAAAAATGTTTAACAAAAAATAAAAAAGAAAATTAATTATCGGAGGTTCAATGATTTAAATAAAATCTATATTGTTCTTTTTTTCATGCTGCTTTATGTCTCTTCTTTGCATTAAATATACAAAGGTAGTACAGAAAACTTACATCAGACACCAGGCCAACCTCATGGCCCTCTCAGACGTACTCCGTCATTACCTCGTTCATATCGTCAATCCGGCATCCCAATTCTACAAAGACCCACAGATAATCATTGTAATTGCATCATTGTAATTATTTTATGTTTTATGCAATTTTTCTACATTACATGTTTCTATTTAAAATATAGAATTGTCATTACTTTTACGATCATTAGTATTATTGTTAATTTACAGACACTTTGTGCTTGGGCCAACATGATATATTTATATATGTTTATTGTAATGTTATTGATTGTTAACATTCTTTTAGATGCAAAAATTACGTTGTTCATGTTTTTACAGATCGAGTCACGCCGGGTGTTAGATCTACTAGTGCGATAGATTTACAAGCTGCCCAAAGAGCTAAAGCAAGATTGACATATGGAAATATGAGTAGATACAAAGCTACACTTCGTAAGTATTTAAATATTTATTTTATATTATTTTAGAAGGCGCGACAGATAATTAAAATTAGTTAGTTAGTTGTGTATTTCCCTTTTATTGAATTATTATTATTATGCTGCCTGAAGATAATGATCATAGTCATCAGGGTAAACAAGGTATTATTATTTGTTACCTTTCAGTGTAATATTTGCATATTCTTTTTGTCTCTCTCAACATTTGTATTGATACACAGATTGTTCATTTATTTTTGCTAACTCTATTATGTTTATTGTATAGCAAGACACAGTAAATCACCTGATACCGCTGCTGTTGCTAGTCCTGAGCGGACAGCTAGGACAAGAACAAGGGTAGCAGGAGTTTCACAATCGCAACGTAAGTGTTTCAAAATGATTAAGATTTCCATCATTTTTCAATTATTTTTAATCATTTAATCATATACACATGTATACTTACACAAATCTGCATATAATTTTACAAGAATCTTATACGTTTTCCTATTTTTAATGGTAGCCAGCAGTAGGTCAGGCTCACCATCGTCGAGGTTGAGTTATACAACGTATAATCGTGAAGGAGAATCATTAATGGCAAGACCAAGGAAATTATCTGGACATGGTATTCGAAGTACAGGCAATAGCCGTGAACCTAGTCCACAGAGATTTGGAATGGATCGAAGTTTTGCATCTAAAATACGGTATGTCTAATATAATAATATTTTGTTTAGAGTAATATTTAAGTATTTAAGTATCTGTAATTGTTTACAAAAACATATACTTGGGACTCTTTTTACGCGGTAAAGTATCGTGTAACAAAAGTTGTGTAACGATTGATTGAAAAGGTGAAGTGTTCTTAACTTATGTTAATAAAACCGTGTAACAAGAGTCTTAGGTGTATACATATATATGTATGGGGCACTCCGACCAAGTCGGCTACTTTTTTAGATGACTCCTTTTCGATTAAGCTGAAAATATTATATTTTATATTTTTTATCACACCTAAAAAAAAATGAAGGCGACCACTTAAATTTGAAAAAAACCATGAATATGTCTTTTGTCAGGATAAATAATATATAAAATTTGTAGTCGAATCGAAATGGGTTATCTATAAAAGTGGTCCAGTTGGTATAGAATGGCCCTATATATTTATTATAATAAATGCACATTGTAATAAATTGAAATTATGTGATAATAATATTATATAATTATAATTAATTAGAGGAAGGAGTTTACATATGTCACCAACAGATAGACCTCAGTCTAGACCAGTTTTGGCACAAAAGATGTTACAACAATCTCGTGAAGCAGAATCTGCTTTAGCAGATGCATTTACTTTTGATAGTATTGACAGTTGTTATAATAGAGCTACAAGAGTTAAAAGCGAACACAGTGATGACAGCGAAACTAGCAGTATATGTTCAGAACGCAGCATGGACAGTTTCAGGCGACCTAGTGATGTGAGTTTTGAAGTTTGAAAATCAGTCGTATTATGTTTCTCATTTCAAAATAATTTGAAGTTAAACAGAAATCAATGATAACATTCGACAAAGCATATTCATTGTTAGATCTAGCTTTCCCTTATCAAAACTTTTAGTAGTGAAGCACTTAATGTTTACTGCATGCTACATGTTTTAAGTATGCTTACCATCTCCTTTAAGTTTGCGTTTTTTATTTATTTATAAAATACAATATTGCGGTTAAATTTCTGATGTGTAAATATGAAAGTAATACAGATAATGAATATGCTGTAATTTATAATTGTATTGATATATGTAAAAATGTAATAGTACGAATTTAAGTAATTTATTGATTGTTATTTGAATAATATTTCATATTTTCATTTTATTGTGTGCTGCAAAATGCTTATGATGCAGTTCTTATCTATATTGTGTATACCATTTTTTAATCATTATCATCTTAGGTATTTGTCATACTAACATTATACTATAATTTTTGTACATATCAATAGTTGTGGTCACAAAAAGTTTATTATTCTGGTATTAGTAGTGGTATATTTTGATTCTATTGGTATATAGATACGTTTCTAAAACGTTATTTTGTATAGAACTGAAATTAATTTTTATTAACATCTTATAAATAATTTTGATAAAACGTGTTAAATCAAGAGGAATAATAATTAGATAAATGAAGAAAGGGAAATTTTTTAACGCAGAGTTGGGCATTCTGCACAATGTAGCTAACGCATGTCTGATTTTTCATTTTCCTTTTTGTTGCGGCGTGTTTGTTTGGTTTGGACTAACGCAATGTGCCATTGTTTACTTCGTATCTATCCATCGTCCATCTACCCATTAGTCGTTCTCATGGAGTGGCTCCCAACAAAGACTGTACCGTGATAACTGGGATCAGTCTATCCCAAAGGTTTGTGAAATTTAGTTTTTCTTGAATTTTCTCACAACTTGCCTTTTTCTCGGATATTTATAACATTTGTATTATAATCATTGCTGACATTAGAAATATTTCTCACATTATACATATCTACACCATCTATTTGACAAAGATTTTGTTTATCCTACATATAGTTAATTCACAAATATAAGTTCATTAGTTAATTATCGATTAATCTATTTCTCTTTGATTTTATTAAATTTTACGTTTTATTTCATATCGTTCATTTAGGTTTTAGATCATTTTCTTCAATCAGTCAATAAATTATATCAATCAAATATGTGAAGTTATTTCTGATTTAATAAATTTAGATATTAAAAATATATATTTAACATAAGAAAGTATATTTCATAAAACTACATGCGATCTAATAAAATCAAATTCTGTATTACTGTAAAAGTTCTTGTTTTTTAGGATATTAAAGAAATAATAGAAAATTGTGCTCACAAACATTGGGGTGACAGAAAGGAGGGTTTGCTGGGACTACAACATTTTCTTGCAAATGGACGTACATTGACTGCAAGTGAATTGCGTAAAGTTACGGATATTTTTACTAAAATGTTTATGGATTCGCATACCAAAGTGTTCAGCTTATTTCTGGATACTTTAAATGAACTAATTACGACACATAATGAAGATCTTAATGATTGGATATACGTTTTATGTGCGAGACTTTTAAACAAATTGGGTACAGATCTATTAGGATCTATTCAAGCTAAAATTCATCGAACGCTGGATGTTGTAAGGTAAAACTTATTTCAAATGGATAATTAATATAAAATTTACATGATAATTTTATTAATATTGTTATTATTATTATTATAATTGTATCAACTTTTTGTCTGAATAGAGAATCTTTCCCTGGTGAACAACTATTACCAGCTGTAATGAGATATTTAACCGATCCGACGCAAACGCCAAATTCTCGTGTAAAAGTTGCTTCCCTTACATTTGTTACACAAATAGCGGAAACGGCAGAACCTTCTGCTCTAAACAATTCTGCAGGGACTGCTCTAGCTAGATTACTTGACTGGACGAGCGATGTAAAAAGTCAAGATGTTAGAAGGCACGCACAGGAAGCGTTTATAGCACTTTACAATTTAAATCCTCCACAAGTTACAATGATTTTAGCGGAATTACCGAAATACTATCAAGTAAGTTATTAAAAGTCCTTTTAGCAAGTTAATTTTTTCAATTGTTCCATACTACATACGCATCATCTAAAAATGTTGAAATTTTCGATATTTATACGTAAACAGCATACGACCCATGAGGGTTAAACGAAAAGTCGCTGAGATATTATCTGACACAGAATGTGTTTATTTAGTTTAAATTGTATATTTTATTCATGTTATTTTTATATAGGAAGCTGCATTGCCCTTGGTTCAGAATTATTTGAAGTCATCAGGATCGAGTAATCCAGCTTCTCCTGGAACTCCACCCCCAAGAGCTCAACACTCTCCTGCTCGTAATAAGAAGAACGATGTTGATACGGCAGATGAAAATTTGGAAGAAGTTTATAAGTAAGATAGTAATAAATGTTAAATAATTACATTTAAAAATAGCATATTCCATTCATATATTTCAAACATTTTAATCTAGAATCTCTTCCTACAGATCGTTGCGACGTACAACAGCGGAAATTCAAAATTATGGATTCGAGCGTTTAGAAAGAGCTACAACAAGCAAAGATAGTGGTATTAGTAATATGGCTGATTTAGAAGAAAGGATAGAAGGTCTAACGTTATCTAATTCGGTAAAACTATTATTTCTTTTATAAAGATATAAGTTATTTATTTATTTAATACATTGCGTGTGTGACATTAATTTTTCCTGTCGTGCTATGTTATTCATATACTTTTCATTCTTATATTTTACATTAATAACATAACTCTTATAACATGCAATGTATTAATAAACATTTTTATATACTGTTTAGTACAACGTTTTTATAAATATTATTATATTTTTTCTCTCAGACGGTTTTTTGATTTATGCTACATCAGAAAATACGTAGATCATGGTCAAGCTTTTCTAGTTATAATTTTATAATGTATTGAATATATGTCAATGATTATAAATGTTTCTAACTATATGTATGTGTCTGGATGTAGTTGTAGTGCGTGAATGTATTGATGAATGTTCCGTAGTATTTTCCTGTAGTTGATAGTATACTAAGTATTATTTTCAATTTGTCCTGTTGCAACATGCCTCTTATTATTTATTATTTATTAATATTTTATTATTATTATTATAATTATCATTATTATTATTATTATCAGGGAAGGTCTTCTTCAGTATCATCACCAACACAAAGAGGACGATCTGTTACAAATATAACAGTAAATGGTTCGAGTGATACAATCGCTGGAGATCTTATATTACCTCAAGAGAACAATGGTTATAAAAATCATGGTAAAAACACAGAAGATATATAATTGAATAAATGTTAATATAAGGATTGATTAAACTTGAAATATATTTCAAATCATTTTATTTTAGGATCATCCCCAGACTCCGCCAAAAGACCAGAAATATTAGATAATATGATTAAAACTATACAATCTAAATTGACGCAAACTTCCGAAAAAATAACAGCTTTGCAGAATTTTCAGGCATATGTTCGAGAAGGAGACGCTACATATGTCAAACAAAATTTCAAGTATACTTATTTTTATTATATTTATATTATATTTTGAATATTCTTGATTTATCTCTTTGGATTAACAATTTCTTTTTTCTTTTCTCGTTTTATCAGAAAGCTTCTCAAAACATTATTAGATAGGGTAAATAGCGATAGTCAACAGTTACAAATAGAAGTACTTCAGACCTTAATTGAAATGCTCAAATGTCCAGAACTTTTGGAATGTTTTTCTGTTTTTCCTGAATTGTTGGTATTGAAAGTAATCACTGCCCATAAGTTTGATGATCAGAAAGCCGATGGTACTTCTAGCGGAGATAATGTTAGAGCGCCGGTAAGGATGACAGAGGTATTTGTTCGTTTGTAATAATTATTAAATATGCATGTTATATAATTTATAATAAGAAAAAAAGGCACAGGTTCTTCGGACAGCGGAGAAGTGTGCAGCGACAATTGCTATTGCTCTCAGACCAGAACAAATTATTCTTGTTGTGTCAACTATAATAACAACAGAACCATTTCCTTTAAATATGGGAGCGATTAAAATGCTTCACAAGATAGTTGAACACTGGGGACGCGAAGCTATAGAGCCTCATCTTTCGAAAATTATGCCAGGACTTATTAAGGTAAATATTTTTATTGAAAATATCGTGTACCATTCTAATAATATACAGAGTGTCTTAAATAATCTTTTTTTTTCGTGATATGTAAAATATTAAAATTAGCAAAACTTGAGTTAAATAGCATCTTAGGGTAACAAATTGTCGTTGCTGAGATGGGCAAAATATTTTTCTTTGCGTAAGTTACGATAAACAATCTCATTATTTTAAATGGGCCGAGTTTGTTATCGTCAATAATATGTGAAATATTAAAGCGTGAAATTAATATTCTAAACGTGTCCAATAATATCATTATTTTCATTGCATTTAGCCAGGTCACAAGGTTTAGCATGATTGATTGAACTCTACTTGTTTTTCAATATTCGTTTGCTTTGATAACATTGAACTGAGTCCAGAGTACATTTGCGTGAAATTTATAGTTGCAAACATAAATCTTCACATTATATGCCTCAATAAAAAACAAATTATTTGGGATACTCTGTATGTTTGTTTTCGATAAAATATTATACTAATTATTTTTCAGGCATACGACGATGTTGAAAGTACGGTTCGTAAAAGTGCAGTTTTTTGTATGGTAGCAATACATGCAGCGGTTGGAGAAGAAGTTTTAAAACCCCATTTGAGTTCTCTATATGCAAGTAAATTAAAGCTTTTGTATATTTACATACAACGTGCACAGCAAACGAACAGTCAACCGGCAAGTCCACGAAGCAACAGCAAAAATTAACTAACAAATAATTCTGCGACATTAAGGATCGCAATATTAAGGAGATTCGCACGCCTAAGTGCAAGACATGAACGAATGTTGGTTAACTTTCTCAGCAAATCGAATCCGTGATCGTTGAGAAAGAATCAGTCGTCGGTAGTACGAGTACAGTTGTGCCTCCTGACAGTGATGTTACACGAAGGCGAATTTAAAACAAATTTTGTTGAAAAGTGAAAAAGATAACATTTTATTATATGTCACACCGATATAAGCGAATTTATTCGATCAGACATTAGGCAAACCGTTAATAATTAACTTATTTCTTTTTCTAATATGATATATGACGTCTTTACATTTCACTTCGAATATTAATATTATATAAGCGTAGCGAATCCAATCGCGAATATATATGCATATTATGTATGTTGGTTTTGAGGTAGGAATGAACCTACGCAACATAAATTAAGTGGGCAAACAGTATGACCTCTTCTTTTTTTCTTTATTATTATTATATTTTTTAATTTTATTTCTGTGTTTATTTACAAACATAATATTTACTTGAATGAGATCTGACAGGGAACCGATTTCAATGGTATATATTAGGGCAGACTTTTTATTATATAACACGCGTTATTCTTGAAATTTAATAGTATATTACAGACGCATCGTATGATCTGTACATATTGCTATATGTTTTACGAAGAATTTTCGAAAATCACGGTTTGTATACTTCTCATTTTGGAGAGACACTAGTTTCTATCATCTTTGTAAAATTATTTAGTTTTAAGTGATCTTTGTGTTTTCGTAAATGTTAATATAGATATCTTATTATTTTTCATTAAACAGCGGTATTGCATATCTGTCTTTTATCCGAATCTTCCATAAAACCTAAATGCAGATCATATTTAGTTGTATATAAAATATATATTGATTATACGAGAGACTGATATTAAAAATCGTACTACGTTGTTTAATTTGATGATCATAGAATCTAATATAAATTATATACAAAAGATCGCGATAGTAGGAGTCTGATGTGTGACATGACTGTCAAGAGGGGAGATATATAGATTACTCGACTTCCTTTCTAGATAACGCATAAAGACAATGCAGGTATCAAGGAACAAAATGTTTGAAAGAGAGAGAGAGAAAGAAAGAAAGAAAGAAAGAAAGAAAGAAAGAATAAAGTAGAGATTTCAATATGCTTGAGGATCGTAAATAACAATCGTTAGCGATACTGTTTGCACCGCATACAACACAACAGTTACGACATTATTAATGTCGAAAGGAAAGTAAATAGTTTATTCGTCTGAAATCAATGTGCTAGTCAGATTTCCAAGGACGCACAATGATGCAAGAGAACACAAACGAAGTTTCTGAGTAACAAAAAATGATGATACGTATAAAATTGCATGTGAGAGATATGTTGTTGAAGGAAAAGAATGAGAGAGAAAGAGTGAATGAACGAATTACGTGTAACAATAACAGAAAACAAAAAAAAATACTGAGAATAAGACTATAGAGGTTTTTTCGATAATCCAATGTGCTCTAGTGTAATGTTAATTATTATTATTATTATTATTTTTATTTTTATTTTTATTTTTATTACTATTATTATTATTATTACTTCTATATTATTAACTATTCATCGCGTTGCCAATATTTGAATGAACGCTAAATCAAAGCTAACATTTAACAAGTTTAGTAAAGTTTCGTGCCATTGTTGATTTTTTTTATTTTTGTTTTATTGTATGAAAATAAAATAATAATATACGCGGCGTGAATAATGATATATGTGTTAATGCGCATGTACATATAAACAAATACACATGCATAGATATTATGCGTATGTATTTACGATGCGTGCGTCTCTTGCGACGTAGGTCGATCTTTATCCTTTTCTTACTAATTTTATCATTGTTAGAGCAGCAAAGAGATAACAAAGAGTACCGTCGAAAGTCATCGAGATGGTAATCGTTGAAGATTATGTTTCGTTTTTTTTTCTTTCCACCTAGTAGTGTTTCTCTGTTTCTATTATTTTTTCTTTTTAATTTTCTTTTCAATTTTCTTTTCATTTATAACAAAATCATCATTGCGCCTTTGCTTCTCGTATGTAAGAAAAAATATAAATGAAAAAAGAAAAAAGAGCGTGAATAAAAAATAAAAAAAAAAAAATAAATAAATAAATAAACATAAATGAAATAATTCGAGCGGACAGAGACAGGTTCGTTATTGTAATAGAGTAATGATAATATCAGCGTCTATAAAAGGATAGGTTCTTTCTTTCTGGCGTTTTAATAATTACGATTAATAACACGTTTCACACGGCAGTTAACAGAGCCAAATCGTGCCAAACATATCCAGATGAAAACAGTATAAAAATTAATCAAGAGAAGGAAAAAAATACGTGTAAACGTTTTATGTCTACTACGAATAATAGCATTTTATTTTCTAATATTTGTTAGTTTCTGCTTTTGGAAACATAACATAAAAGATACGCTTCGTTGATATATTATAGTTGCCTTTTCGATATTGCTTGAAGTTCTTTTTTATTTTTAAAGTTTTGCGGTTCATTACGATAACGTTCAGTCATATATATAAATAAGTACATACATATACATACGAGCGTGTGTTTTATTGATCCTGAAAATAAATTCATCAAGAATTATACGATAGATCGTATATGTCTCATATAGAAGGTTTTTTTTTATTATTAATTTCATTTTCTTATTCTTCAATTGAAGCCATTTAGCCCAAGTTTAATGTTATGTTTTCATTTCTTTGTTTTTCTTGATTTTTATTATTTTTTTCTTTTCTTTTCTTTTCTTTTTAAACATTAGACGCAAAGGCATTACCGTTTTTTTCAAATAATAATATTGCAATAAAGATCTCGAAAATTAATTCGTTAAGAGATCAATCATAATAGAAATTGTCATCTTTCGAATTCATCCTCTCGAAAAGATTAATGTTTCTCAAAACTTTAATTCTCACATCTTTGATGACCATATTCCACTTACTTGCTCATTCATTCATTTGTTGAATCATTCATTCATTCATTCATTCATTCGTTCATTCATCATTCGAATTAAATAAAAAGCATCACATTTAAATAGACGCGACGACGGTACGGTCTGTATCGGTCATGTATATATGTATACATATAGTATTAAACATAATGTACAACCTACACATTATCTAGTATTTAAGTGAGAGCAATTAGGAGAGTATACATCGTCACTGCCTCCAGCGTTTGGTCGCGCCGACCGTAATTTTGCGTTTTTCTTGATAAGTCCACTAAGCTTGCTTTAATGTTATTATTTTTTTTTTGTCAAAAGAAACGAGACAAATCCAAAAAAAAAAGGACAAATATCAAGAGTTTTGAAGAATAATTTTTCATATTTTTCTTTTTTGTTTCCTTTTTTTTTTTTTTTTTAAATATGATATAAAATGTCTTTTTACTATCAGTTATAAGACATTAAGTAAATTATTTGTGTGTGTTTATGAATTAATTATTTATAAAAAGCGAAAGGAAAGACAAGCGCCGATCTGATTTAATCCTGTTATTTGGATATATATACAGGATCTTTCGCCTAACTAGAGACCATCTTAAATATATCGTTTATTTCGTACAATAGAAAAAAAGTGAAGGAAAAAATATTCTGTTTGAATCTGTCATCGTGTATTTTTTTTTTTAAATGTGACTGCATATTTTTATTACAATATTCTTATAGCTTATAAAAAAACAAATCCATCGATGTGCAATAAGTTGTCCTTCAAGTGACCTTTACCGAGAATATTGTGAAAAGTACGCGCTCGTGGGTCGGTAAATGAAGGAACAAATGCAACTCAACATGTAAGACATTCATATAAGCAAAAAATCTTCTTTCGTACAGGAAACAACATTTCACAATTTTCAAGGTGACTTTGACAAGGTCAGTTGAAGGTCTACATATTGCACTTCGTTGAATTTTTTTTTTATAAGTTATAAGACTGTTGTGAGAATATGTAGTCCCATTGAAAAAAAAATACGATGACCTTGAGAACAAAATTCGGCCCATCACCTTATTAGCGCCTTCGAACAAAATATTTTTTCCCTCTGACATTTTTTTCTATCATATGAATTAAGCGATATATTTAAGGTGGTCTAATTAGGTCTAAGACTCTGTATGTATACATACATAGTTTCTTTTTGGTTCTTTTACATGGAACAATCGTAATAAGTTTTACGAAATTAATAAATAAAGAAATCACAAGCGTCTTTAAATGTTATGTTTCGAATAGTTTATTAGATTAATTTAATCAGGCATTATAATTAAAAAAAAGGATGAAGCCTAGCGCGAATCACAAAACGAGACGTTGAAATTGTTCAAAAAAACCCTAATGATAATGTAATAATTAGTAAGTGCGATTTTGCTGGAGGTGTTTAAATAAGGATTAACGTTAAATTAACAACTGAGAGAGAGAGAGAGATATATATTTACGTTAATTCTTGATGGTGATGTGGCTAACGATTTTGTTCTGACGATTCTAATGCTTACATTATTCTTACCTTATCCGACAAAAAAAGTAACTTATTTGTATTGTAATAAATGAATGTTAAATATTTACACGCTTCTATAACACAAATCAGTGACCGGTATAAATGCTAGATTATTATCGTATCGTAAAGCTCTACATGCTGTTTGTTGCTTGAAAATATTTATCAAAGACATGATATTTCTTTCTATACTTTATTCTATTCTACATTAACCCTCTATAGTCCAAATTTGTTTTACGATTATAAATAAACAAATTTATATCACTTGAAATATACAAAATTATTAATTATAATGTTAAATATATACACGAATTAATAATAAATGAATAATTTTCAAAGATAATAAAATTTATTCCGATAATTCAAGCTTAAGTTGATAATCGTTATACAAATTTTTCTTATTAATTACCAAATAATTAGTTTAACACAATATCTATACATCATATTGGAAAAGAAAATTAGATTTAAACAAAAAAAGACGAAAAGCGTGTGGAACCTATACGCGACTGAAATGAAACTTTTTAAGTTTCCCCATGTCGTCTGGAGCAAGTCTTGTCAATATTTTCCCATTTTTCCCTACAACTCAAAGAATTACAGAGGGTTAATATATATTTAATCTCGGGAGAAACATGTATAATTATTATTGGCATATAAAAAAAAGAACAATGAGATCGATCGATCGGAAATTGTCGTGTGCTATCAATCGGCTGTTTAAATATCAACGATCGAAGTTTGTTTGTTTGTTTTTTTGTTATTATAAGCTGTAAGAGAGAAAAAAGATAAGAAAAAAAAAAAAGAAAAAAAAATGGAAAAGAAAAATCATTAATCAGTGGTGTTATACGATAATATATGTTGTACGAAAGTTCGACTCGTTCGATAGTTAGAACTTTCGAGAATAATTTAAAATTTTGCCGACAAATTCGAATATAATATACGTATTCGAAATGACTGCGAAATTTGTAAATTATTCAGTTCGCGTTAGTATTAAATTGAGCTAATTCTATTCCAAATCGATCTAATAGTTTAATTAGATAAATTAAAAAACAAAATCTAAAGCAAAGCTTGTTAACAAAATTATGCCGTAAGTTAATTTTGAAAAGGTTTGCATCGACGCGAACGAGTAAATAATCAATGTTATTTATTAATGCAATTCTACTTGGCAGATGCTCATAAAAATTTCATCATTATATTACTTGCATACAAATTTGCACAATGTGTTTCGAAGTCGTTAAAATTTTGTAAAAATATTTTTTTTAATTTCTTCTCTCCCCTCGTTCCCCTCAACTTTTATTTTCATTTCGAATGTATAAATCTTTTCCTTTTTCATTATTCTCGAGACACTTTTGTTCTAATACCGGCAGTAACGTAATGTTCATTTATGTTATAATGTGTATATTGTCTAACGTTTCCTTTTTAAAGGAAAATCTCACTGTCCACTTTCTTCCTATTTATATTATATTATGAACATCGCGAATGGGATAAGAGTTTCGACGTAGATTAAAGTGACACTGAAAAGAGAACACGAGAGCTTCTGAAATAATGATAATGATAACAATGATTAAAATATAATTATAATGATGTACGCATAATAAAGTTGTCAAGGATGATGATTTTTTCACGCTGACAAAAATGTATTACTGTAAATTACTACTACGATGATATTAATTGTACTGTTATTGTAATTGCTAACTTGACATAATAAAGTATTGCGATAAAAGAATGTTTTTTGTTTTCTCGACGCATATGAGATTATTTTAAAGTCAATAACTCATTTGTTAAATTAATTAATCCGACAAAACAAAATATAGAGATAATTGATATCTACAAATAATTATTCATTGTCGTGTAATTTATTATTAAACTAACATATAATTGTCGGTGGTGTTAAGCCTAATTATTAAGAACATTTATTGTTCAATTTACCTTCTTTTAAAATAATGGAATTTACTTTAATTATTTAATTAATTAAATATTTAAGAAGATTAGATTTTATTTAGAAATTATATAAAAAACATTTTAATCGAATGAATCATAAGTGATATTTTATATAATTGCGCGAGTATTTTATTCAAATATTTAATACGTGATTTTACATTCATATTTATTCCGACATTGTCTCTTATATGTTGAATGACAATGGATACAAATCTTAATTAAATAATGGTAATAAATAGGAATTAAAAAAAATTAATTAAGTACTGAGAGAGATTCTTTTTTAACTATATATTTATTTTCTTATTCTCTTAAAAACTTGGTTCTTTATCACTATATTAATAACAATTGCATTCATTGTTTAAAAAAAAAAGAATATGCAATGTTTTACATGTGTATATCTATATATACAAACATACTTGCACACACGTTTCATTCGTACTCAAATAAAAAAAGAAGAAAAAAAAAAGTATATAACTCGAGATATCAAGTAATATTATTCGTTACATATCATAATACGTCGCATGTGTTTTATTATATATTTAACATTATTTAGCCTCTTGCCCTATGATTTGAATTCCAATGATGCGTGCCATAATCATCAATAAGTTCACATCACAAGTTGAGTCATTTCGGATAGGAATTCGAGGTTGTGGCAATCGCACACGTCTTATGACATATTAACATAAATTATAGCAACAAATCACGAATCTGGAATGTGTTGTTTATGTTAGGCCCGATCGACGTTGCGTGGCTTTCATCCGTGTAATTAATATATTTAAATTTTTATTTTCTTTACTACGAGTTTCCCGTGATGTTATAGGGCAAGAGGTTAATAGTCTTCAAAAATTAATAAAAAGAAAGTATACATAGATCAGATCTATGAGTAATATTATCAATTCGTTAGAAAATATTTGTAGATACGAATTAAGGCACTGTCCATAAAGTTATTCATATCGTATAAATTTTTTCAAAATTCATGACTTTTTTCTCCCTCCCCTCGTTATGATACTTTTACAAAAATTAATAATTCCGTGGTATTTCTTTATCTCTAATACTGTTTTTTTTTTATCTTTTCTTCTGGATGTCATACATATACATATTAAATCATCCCACATTCTCTGCATTTGTATACTTTCTCATGTTATTCTAGTAATTGTTGCACGTAATTGATAACATCTTGAAATTGAATTAACTGATTATTCGATTTTTATGATAATAATAATAATTATTATGTTTTTAAAATCATTTTCAACTTTCATATTAAGTAATAAAAATAAAATGTAGATATAAACTATTACGTTTTAATCGCATTTATAAACTGAATTGTAATATTTTTTTCTAAGTACATATTAAACGTTTCGTGTTCGTAATTTTGCCATTATATAAACGGCAAATAGATCTTGGTTATCTTCCTAAATTTGAATTGATATTATTATACAGTTTGTATACCTACACGTGAGATACGTAAGTATGTGCTTATATCTATACATACATACATACCTACATACCTAAATACATATCTAAATATTTATGATTTGAAGATAAAATAATAAGAATGATAAATCATCACGATTAAAACCGAAAATACGAAGAAACGAACTAAAATTAAACATTCGGTACAGTTTTTGGGTTGAGCGGTTCACTCGCAGCTATGTTCGTGTTTCGTTGTGATGATCTATTCTGTCTACGTTTCTTATTCGATTTCGAATTAGTAAAACTGATTGCTAGGAAATGATTGTGGAAATATTCCTCGATTTCCGACAACTTTTTACCATGTGTCTCAGGTAGCATCAGTAAAACAAAGAACGTAGATGCCAAGGAAACGGCCGCGAAGAACCATTGGCCGGCATAAGAACCTAGAAACATTTGTTACTTTTTTAATCCATCGACGTAGCTATTTTATTAAATTGTAATATTTATTCATCCAGTTTTTCTATTTAGGAAAACATAAGAAAACGCAAACAAGAAAAATACCAAAAAAAAAGGTCTTCTGAAAAAACAAACAAAGAAAATCGGACAAATATATTTTTATGTTAAAATACAAAATTATTATACCTCCTAAAAAGTCTTGAAGACTTCGGTAACTTTGAAGTGCAGCAAACATAAGTAAATTGGCCATGGAGTAGCTAATAGAATGAGCGATTCCTCGAATCTCTGTTGGGAATAATTCAGCGGTCATGGTCCAGGGTATAGTCAACATACCAACCATAGACGTGCAAACGTAAAGCAAAAGACATACGATTGGTACCTGAAACATTGTTCGGCTTAATAAGTGATATTGGATATTTTAAATATGTACAATACAAGCATCATTTGTTACAAATTCCAATAGTATATACCTGTAATTCTTAAACTGTATTCCGCGGACTTTTTAATAGTTTAATGTAGCAACAAAACAGTACCATTGTTTTCATAGGAATATGTATTAAATATATTTACTTAATTACAACTACTTTTATTATTAACAAATTTAGTATTTTTTATTGATTATTTAAAAAGTTCGTAAATTAAAAAATAATAATTTCTATAATGAAAAATACAGATGTTCATATTCTTTATAACCGATTTTATACACTAATACTATAGTATATAGGATTAGTCAATAAGTAATATCCCACGCGTTTAATTAATGTTTAATTTATTAACTAATTTAATAGTAAACATTAACATAAATATGTAACAAACTTGGATAAATTTATCTCACGATAATGGTTTAGAAATAATGATATAAATAACTTTATAAAAAAAGACTCACCCAATAACCGCTTCGATCACCCTCATGAATTCTTAAAGTGAAATAACCGGAAATAATCATACACGTTGCCATTCCCAACGAAGAAATTATACACAACGGTCTTCTTTTGAATCGACGAAGAAGCCAAGTATTTACCATAGAGCACAAAAACCGCGTTAGACCTACTAGGATCGAAGATAGGTATTCGTCTACACCGGCACCAACATCCTAGAGTTTAATGTAGTATATTAATGACAACCTTTTTATTATACAGCATATTCCTAAAAAAATCACTGTTAAATCGTAAATTAATATTATTGGAGAATTATATGCCATATTAATGTCAAATGTAGTTTAATAGGGTGTTTAACTAATATGTCAACAATATTTACTTACTACTTTAGTTGGAGTACAATATTTTGTTCAATAAATTTTATTTATTAATTATTAATTATTTTTAATTTTCAATTCGACTTACCTGAAACCATGTGACAGCATAAAAGAGGGTGATATAAATTCCTGAAAACTGTTGGAACAAGAAGAACAAAAATAGTATAGTCATGGGCTTCCATCCGGTAGGTTTAAGGAAACCACGTAATTTAGTAAAAGCGTTGCCATGTTTACTTCTTCGTTGTTCGCTTAATTTGATTTCATTTTCTTTCATGATCATTGCGAATTGTGCTTCTGCGAGCGAGACGGTACCTTGTTTCTCATCGGATTTGTACAACCTGAATTTTAAGAATAATAAAAGATTTTAATTAAACTATAGAAAATTTCATAGTTAATGGTTATTATTTATATTGATAGTTTTTATTTCTTACCATTCTAAAGCTTTTCTCGCGTCATCGAATCGTCCCCTTGAAACGAGCCAAACCGGTGACTCCGGGACAAAGAATTGAATCAAAATGATTGGAACAACCGCGTAAATGATGCTCAACCAAGCGACTAGACGCCAATGTAAATAAGCACCTTTCAAATATGCTAGAAGCATACCGAAGGAAGCAAGAGTTGGTCCGAAAGATATCATCGAGCCTCTTAATTCTGGCCTCGCTACTTCTGTTATATAAACTATCGCAGGTGAGCTACCCATTGCAGACGAGATCCCTGTTAATAGTCGACCGACTAAAAGCATTGATAAATTCGTCGAGGAAGCTATCAAAGCCCAGCCTATAATACAAGGAATAGCACCGATTTGCAATGTTTTTAACCTTCCAATCGTTTCCATTAGGAAACCACTTAAAGTTGCACCGACCGGTACGCATAATACCACCACGCTAGCTGCAACAAATTAAACAAAAACGGAATACATTTTGTCGATAGATTCTCAATAGATTTTTATTTGCTGCCCTTGTTAGAATGTTAAGCTACCGAGTGACTCAAGAGGAATATCCGGAACGTTTTTGCTTCTCGATATAAAAAGGCAAAAGCAACAGGTCAGTCGTTATACCGTCAGAGCTCTAATTTAATCCGCAGTAAGACGTTACTAAATAAGCTCGACCCGACTACTTTTAACGTCTTACTTCTTCCCCATCACCCCTCTCACCTTCATCCAATTCTCTCTTATCACGTTTTCTTTTTATTCTAATTTTTTCAAATATATATATATATATATCAATGTTTTTTTTATTTTCTTTTTCCTAGTTCGTACTTTAAACTTCGACTTGTAGAGTCTCTTACCTATCCAAGCAGTTTCCTTCTTCGTTGCTGGTATTTCCGCGTCTTTAGCCTCAAGGTGTGGTACGAGAATTGCCGAGTACGCCATACTGAGACCCAATGCTATGTGGAAAGTAGCTGAGATGATGCATGCCGAGATCTAAATCGATCGGAAGTAAGTTTATTTGATAACGATACGATATTCTTCATGATCTTACATTCAAGATATTTTTTATGCAGGATGCATCATTTAAATAGGAATATTTGAATGATTTTTTTATTGAAATGTATAGTTGTACTACTATAGTACTTCTTGTATCGAGAAATATAAGTAAAAGGATAGAAAAATTGTTCTTATAAAATTCAATGTTATAATTTGTAATTGTTTATTAAATATTAGGTGTAGAAATTAATTCAATACTTTTTAAAAATTAATTCAACAAATAAATTTTCTCTCGAGTTTTCCTATTTAAATTTAGGCAATTCATTCATATATGTTTATGTGCATTTACCTCGCGAAAAGCATTTTTAAGATTCGTCGATTCGACGAAATTCTTATTGAGACTCCGACAGGATACGATTGCATCTTTGAAACATTCTCTCTCATTTTCCTCGATGTTCTTCGATGCTTCGCGTTCGACACTGTAAGAATATTATTTCTTTCTGTTTTTTTTTTTTTTTATTTTTATACCTTTCAAAGCCACATTCTTGAGAATTATTTATTACTGTGATTCTTCGGAAACAAGCAGGTATTATCTATGTGATATGGAATTGCATTCGCTTTGAAAAAGATTGCTCTCTAGCTTGTGCCACATATATTACTAGAAATGTCGATGTGTTCCTAATTGCATAATGGTATAACTTAGCGATAAATGTTCTACTAGTTCTAATGAATTTATATTATGAGCGTGAAAAATGTTCTTTACATTACTTAAAGGAGATTCTTTTAATTACTTATATTAGTCTCTTGGATTTACTCTTATAAAATACTACTATCCGTGTCCAAACATGTGTTAAACAAATAATTCTTTAAGTTCAGATCCGTTGATCAGAGTTTAAGAGAATCTTGGGATTTAAAATCCAACGATCCATTACAATTAATGAATTTAACTATTATTTTCATATCCTAGGCTGATTCTATGTCAAGTTGCAAAGTCAAATCGATTGTTTTCAAACGATTGCATTTCGCAACTAACAAGTGACATTAATGAACGTCTTGGCATCTGTTCTTTACAACCTCATATCCGAGTCTACTCGATTCGAGAACGCATGTATAATACATATACGTATGTATATGTATACATAAACACATATAACAATACATATCATAACACTCAAGGCAATTATTATTTCCATTTAACTAGTTTTTCATATAAAGAAGTACATCTTTTGAAAGGATTACACCAACTCAAGTATTTCGAAGGATTATCTTTTCTCACGTTCATCCTGCAGCAATTAACGGCTTGCAAAACACGTGTGAAAGTAAGTCGATGAATCGACTAAATCCGTCAATGCTGGCTAGACAGCGCGTTTTCGTTCGATTACGATGACGATGACGATGACGACAACGACAACGATCTACTATGGTGATGATGATATAACGATGAGACATTTGTACGATCGTGAATTACTTACTACATATATATGTAAAATAATATATTTTTTTCTATTATCTATTATTTGATTGTAACGACAGTGCATTGAGGACAATCCACAGATACTACTAAAATGTTATGAGATTCTGAACAATTATGGATAAATGCTCAATCATGCTGGTTTCATGTGTTTTGTTTATTTTTTTTATTTTTTTATTTTTTGTTGTCATTAAGGAAAGGAGTACTACCTACATATTGTCGCACGCCATTCCGTAGCATTCATTGATTATTATCCGTACTCTCTCTTTTTCGCATTGAGAGTCGCAATTGCACTGTTATTATCTTCCTTTCTCATCCATGGACAGCCATATTACTTATAGGACTCATACTATAGACAGCCCCGATAGTAGTTTCACGACACCCTGATATCTTGCATCTTTCAGTGATCAACGCTGCCATCACCACCACCACCACCACCCATCATCCTTCCTTTCGTCAGAGAAAATCTATTTTTATTCTTTTGCCAAGGTTCTTCTGACGCTGATTTCGGCGTTTCCGTGCTTCACTATTTTTACTCTAACTCTTTCTTATTGGTTTGTTAACGTTTCTTATTCGATTGAAGGTTATAAATAATTTTTTCGAAAAAGAGAAATGAAAAAAAAAAGAAAGAAAGAGAAAGTATTTAAATGGGTAAAAAATTTGAAATACTTTCAATATCCGATTAACTTCAATTAAAATCCGTTAAAATTCATTTAAATTAATGTTAAATACCAATTGTTTTGTGTATTTACATGTTTTCAAATATTTGAAATATTAAAAATAGTTATTTGGTCATACAAAGATATTTTATAAATCTTCTTTAACTTACTAGAATAATAAGGCGTCGAATATGTATTTTTGGGTTATTTTTTTATCAAGTAAAAATTAATTTAAGAATCTATTAATAAATAAATGTATTATTATTAGTATGTTCACACACACACACACACACACACACACACACACACACACATATTTATCGCATTTATTTTATATGAGATAGTTAACTGTTTGCGTACCACGTGTCGTTTTCGCGCTTTTCAAATTTCATGTAAAAAAATCCCAACTCTTTTGAACGATACGGACAACTAACGACACACTCACAATCTGACAAAACGCGTTCAACTTTTTAAACATATGTACATACATTGCTACTTTTCTTGTATTTAATCCAAGTAATATATTTTATATATATGTTACCGTCAAAGCCGGAAATCAGTCGTTGCTAGTAATTCCTCGGCATTACTATGAATATGAAGAGTCTTCAGACAAAGTTGGAAATTGAAAAATTCTTCAAGTTTTTCCTAGGCATCTAACATAATAAAAAGTTTTGGTAAATATTTTTTATACTAAAAGTGAATAGATTTTAATGAAACTTATATTAAATTAAAGTACACTCTTTTGTCTACGCGCTGAATACTTTGTCGAGTTATAAATTGATCTGCAAAGGTTCAAAAAATGTCGGAGAATGCAATGCTGTAAATTGTGCATCTTTGCAATTTCTGATATATGAAAAATTTTGAAAACAAACAATATTAATTAATTAATAAATTGAAAGTAACATTTACCATTGAAAACATTGGTGTTTATCAAAACATATTAGATAAAATTCTTTTTTACATTATACGTAATTTAGATGAGTTTTTTCTCGCTTAAAACATAGATTAAAACAAGCGCTATCACTCTGCTTGTCTCTTCTCGACATGAAATAAAAGGAGCGCTATCGTGCCACTTGGATCTTTTCGCATCTTATTCAGAAAACGTTATTGTGCAGCTGTTTGCCTTTTTTCGATCGTGATTTTTTTTAGAAACCTCTGATATTCAAACGGTTAAACATTGAAGAAGAAATTAGAAGTTAGAACAAAAAATTGTTTCTAATTAATTCTTGTAACTACTGTACAGAATACTTCAAACTTTTGATCAGAGGTGTACAAGCTGACTAGCACCGTTGACATTTCACGTTTCTCTACGATCCGCTAACGTTTCAACGTTCTCGATGCTTACTTTGTCTGCCTGTGTAGAACGTTAAAGACGTATGTACTATAAAGTGTAATACATCATTCGGGTTAATATCTTTGAACGTGCAATATTCATTCGTTCGTTTTATACAAAAAGAAAACAGTAATTATAGTTCTTCGTATGGTATATAGAGTAGGTCTAAAGTTTCGACACTTGCATTAATAGTTATACAATGTGAGATATATAACAAGACGAAATTCTAATAATAATAATAAGAAAAAGAAGAAGAAGACAATGTGAAAAACATTCGGCTAATCAATTTTCCGAATATTTACAATAATCTAACTTTAACTTTTGTGTTGAATATTAACGTAATCATATTAATTATGAACGATGAACTCACAACTTTTTGTCAAAATGGAAAATTATTTCTTATTTTTAGATATCTAACTTTCTACTTTGTGCTTCTGAATTTTTGTATACATTTTTTCATTCCAGTCAAGCATAATATATTTAATACCTCGAATATTTAGAAAATGATTTACCATATCTTAGTAATCTTTTTTTTCCATATGATTATTAATTTTAATTTATACAACCAAACATATTATACATGTATATGATCGAGTGTTGATTATAATCAACGACTTATGTTTATCCTCTTTGGTACCATCATCGACTTATTTATTTAATAGTTTTAAGTATTCATGTATATATGTTTTATTTATTAAATATTTTATGCAAATAAATAATACTTCATTAGAAGACACATGCGTTATACGAACATATTTTGTTAACAACTATCACATACTGAAAAGGTTAATAAGTATTATTTTTATTTATTCAAGTTGTCAAGTTATAAATATAGAACAAAGTTCAAAGCAACAGCAAAAGTCATTGGCAGACTTCGATTATCTAATCATTTATATATGAATAATACCGCAATGAGGAAAAAAAAATATGATCACAGGTCGAAAAAATATAATATATTATTATTTGTACTAATGTGAAACGCGCGAGACAATTAAAAAGAAAATATATGGACACAAACACATTTCAAATTGATCATACAAAAGTAATATATCATATTTATTAAATAATAAAAGTTATATTATTTAAAAATAAACATGTGTAATTATGTGTGTGTGAAATTCTCCTCTTGGGGAGGTAGATAATTTAGCATAATCTAATCATAAAAAAATATCATATAATATATCCGACACATCTCGTAATCATTTGTGCTTACGAAATGACTAACGAGCACGACGTTACGTCATAGATATTTTGAATTTGAAGTAGTATACAGGATAGAAAAAACTAATCTTTTTTATCCTGTTTTTGCAGTATTCAACATTATTCGAAGGATATTATTTTTGTGTTCGTTTTATTATTTAAACCTCTGTGTGTGTGTGTGTGTGTGTGTGTGTGTGTGTGTGTGTGTGCGTGTGTCTGTGATTAAAAATTATATTAAATTATACGTATAGAAATCTCGCTACGATTTTCCTATATTATTTATTTAAAATGGCGAATATAATTTACGCTCAATACTAATAAATTTTGAATTTCTTTAAATATTACATCTTATACTCGTTTCTTATGTGTTAAATAATTAATAAAAAATAATATCTATTTATTAGATATTTATTATTAACGCGTTAATGCATAGTCTGTTAAAAAATACGCATGCATTCAAGAAATAAACGAAATAACATAAGTATACAAAAAAACATAAATAAATAGATGTTACAGTCGTATGAACATATTTGCACTCTAAAAAAAATATATTAATAATTATATTTATTGTCTTTAAAATAAATTAATACAAAAGTCTTCAAATTAACAAATATTTCCAAAATTAATATTGATATAACAATTTAAATAATAATTTTGGAAATTTAACAACGATAAATCCTTTTTTTTTCCTCTGCATAGTTACTTTCAATTACTATATTTCAAAATATAGATATTTATGTCACATTAATATATTTATTTTAATCCAATTATGTTAATAATTTTAAAGAATTCTCAAGATTATTGACTCCGGTCAATTGTACATTTTTACTGTTTTCTTTGTTGAATGAAAGTAAGCATATAAGTACATATAATACATCAGTTACTCAAGATTCATACATATATATTTGAATGACCGATTGGTGTGGGAAGAATCAATCCGACTTATGTAAGCAAATCTGATTACTTCCTTTTCTTTCGACGATATCATAATACAAAAACTATTGATATATTAGTCAAAATTAATATTTATGTATACATAGGAAAAATTAATGATATATATTAATATATATATATTCGTTATATAAAATGGATATAAGATAAGATTGCCAGTAAAATGATATTATATTTTTATCGGTCGTATCAGATAATTGATTTATCGCTAATATGATTCATATCCATTATCATAATAAATAGATACGAGATAAAAAAAGAAAGGAAAAAAAAAAAGGGAGAAAGAGATGACAAAATAAATTTAACTTGCAACAAAAACAATAATGATATTCGGAAAAATTTAATATAAGAAATAAAGAAAGGATTTTCTTTAAGGAAAAAATAGCGAACAAATAAAGAATGCAATAAATGTGATATCATTGCACATAAATATACTAGTAAAAAAGTTTACAGAAATTTACGTATGTTTACATGGAAAATTATTTTGATGGTTGTTCTTTTTATAAAATACTTAATATTAAACCGTGAATGAATGAACAATCTTCGAGGATACTCAATTTATTGTAATATTTTAAACTAGAGTTGATAGTTGTTAAATAAATATCTTTTATCGGTTACCGAATAATGATTATACAAAAAAATACTTTTACGCCATATATGAACAAAAAAATCTATTTAAATATAAGATAAATATTGATATCGATAAATAATTATTATGTAAGTAAGACGGAGCTATAAAAGTTTAGCAATTCCTGTCAGGTTTATTTATGAGTAGTAGTCGAATCTTTTGCAAATATCAAATTGTAATAAGACAAGGACATGCTTTCGAAAAAAAAATACTGTTATATGTAGATCCTCCTATTGCGTGATCGAAAATCGAAATGAGTATTTTTTTCAGTACGATCAAGGAATAAGATATTTGACATTTTTGTTGCCTCGGCTATTCGATATTTCTTAAAATCTATTTAAATTAATAGGATTTAGATGACTGGTTTATTTGAATGTTTTTATCACAAATGTTATCAAAAACTTTGATGTCACATACTATTAAAAATTTTAGTGTCCAATATTCATTGTTAGATGAGCAATGTAAGGCAAATGCTTAAGTAAATACACATTTTGTTTTTAATAGAATTTCTATTTTATTAAAAAAAAAAAAAAATAATAAAACTGAAATATCAAATAAAAGATATTATCAGTTATTTTAATTGTGACTTCATTTCATTTGTGTGTTTCTTAGTTATTTTTCTAGATTAAATAAAAGTTGTGTACAAACAAACATTAATCATGCATATATGTTCTTCGTTCCACTTACCTTAATGAGTATGGATCCATGTTTGTCCTTTTTAGGAAATTAATGTGCTAATGAATAGCTTGTTCTCGAATAGCTTCCTTCTAGAATTACACACGTGTAGAAGTAAATTACTCTACTATATAGTAGAGAATACTATGTAATAAATCCTTATCAACGGAATATGCCTCCTGCCAAGACCATTTTATTCACTGAAACAATCATATTTATTAAAATTACAAATTAACTAAAAAAAAATTAATGTTGTTTGTTGGCCGTGAAAGATAATTTGATGGAAAACTTTCAATTTGGAAAATATCGCGATGAGTGCTAAATGAACAACTTTCTTTTGCTTTCTCTGTTTAATTTGAAGGAAAACAAAGTCATTAAGTAAAAGTATTATTATTATTTCTAATTTCTAATTATTTTTCTAATATTATTTCAGGTTCGACATGAAAAAATATTTTTTTTAAATATTATTTTTATCTTTATGTAAAATATTGTATGTTGCCATAATAGAGAAAATATTAAAGAAACAATTTAATTTAACTGTTTTATATATATATATTATAAATAAATATTAAATTTGCTTAAAAGGGGCCGAATTAATTGCTACACCTATACTAATTACTATTGTTAAAAAATTATGAACTTATGATATCGTCACTCCAAATATCTGCTCAAAAAAATGGATATTTTTTCAGTTCGTTAAATTGACTTTAAGGGCACTTTGTAAAATAAAACTTTCAATAAAATATAGTAGAACCTTGATCAACAAGTGTGATGGGGAGGAGAGGAGCAATGACGTGAATAAATCAAGGTCCTATTATACATCTCGACTTAACTTGAACGTTTGTTAATCAATTAGCTGTAATTGATGAGTATACTCAATATGAACAAATGACAATAATATATGCTACCGATTCATTTTTGAAATAGAATTTAAGTACAAACTTTTTAAAAAGGTCACCACAGAATATAAAACAACAGATAATCGAGAATCTGACTAAACAAGACTTCGGTTAATTAAGATTCTACTGTATTTGAACAAAATTCGTAAAGATAAATAAGTGTAAAATAAGTAAAAAAGTAATTAAGGTAAATAAAGTTTAAACAATGCAGATTTTATATATATATATATATTCTTTAGATTATTATGACTTAAAAGCTACATGGCGTTTATTAAAATGAATATATAGAATAATACTTGTCGTTCTAACTATCGAGGAAATCGTTTTCTTACGTTTCAAGTCTTTTCAATCTTGTATATATGCCAATGTAATTGTAAGTTAGAAATTCCGTTCTAACGATTAAATTCTGGAGCAGTCTGGCAATACTTGCTCTACCTCCCAATGTCGATTCTGACATCCAGTATGAAAGTAAAATGTAAGAAAATAGATCGAATTTCTGTGTATATCGTAATTTATCGTTTATTTGGTATGCAATTGAAGTTACAGTGTAATTTATTTTAACAGCCGGAAAATTCAAGAACTTCTGCATAAAAATTTTACGAACAGCGTGTAATTCGTATATGATTTGTTTAGGTTACGAAAGAGAATGAAACGTATTATATACATGTACAACTTAAGACACGTGATTCACATTTCTGTATTGCGTTGTTAAACATTTTAACATGAAAGACAGAACTGATATACATGAAAAATTTATCAAATCGATAGATATCAGAGTAATCGATTTTTATAATTATCTGCTCGTATTTTAAAACAATTCGCATCGTCTGATACTACTTAATCGATAGATCGTAAGTTCGATAATCTTTTTGAAGAGTTAATGATTAACATGGGAAATGAAAGATGATAATAATGCAATTCAATATTATTTTTATTATGTATATCAATAATAAAAAGAAGAGAAAAAGGAAATAAAAATACTTTAAGATATGTTATCTTGCTTTCTACGTTAAGTTTAAAATGGTACCGTACAATCTAAATGTAAGATGTCTTCCGTAAAATGAAAATTGATTATCGATAAATTCATTTAGTTGATTTAGATTGTTTGTTTTATTTACCTCCAGTATTTGTAATATATTTTAAATGACAGTAATTAATCATTCTATTATGAAGTAAATTCAAATTAGTATATATATGTAAAGAAATTATTATTTTTTTCTTGTAATAATAAGCATTTCATAGATAACAATATATCATGTAACAGTTTTTGATAAATCTTTACAAAATTATGGAATTTATTCGTTGAAATAATTTGTTCAATCAAACGATTTCTACTTAAAAGTAAATCCGCACTCTAATATGTAAAAAAATGTTCTTTTTTCCTCTCACATAAATATTTTTAAAATAACGAAATAACGCGCGATGTTCATTAGATGAAATTTTCAAAAACGATTAAATCCATTCGTTGGATTACTTTATTCAATCAAGTTTCTATTTAATTTCTATTTTTATTTAATAGTAAAAATCTAAATTAATATATAAGGAAAATTATCTTTATTTTCCACTAATAATAAGTATTTTTTCGATAACAAAATACCGCGTACTGTTCATTCGATGTATCTTTCAAAAACGATTAAATTTATTTCATAGAAATAATTTGTTCGACCAAAGGATTTCAACTTAAAAGAAAATCCACACATTAATCTGTAAAGAACATTTTGTTTTTCTTATAAATATTGTTTAAATATAACGAAAGGTTCATTCGATTAACCTTTCAAAAAAGATTGAATAAATTCGTTGAAATATTAAGTGTAGCAGTTAATTCAGTTTCTTGATGTTAATTCATTGCATAAAAATCGCAATTTTTTTTATGTCAAGGATTTCGGTGATTGCCTGAAAAGTGGATTATCGAAGAATAACAGATGTACGATTACTTAATGAATAAAAACTAAATTTTTAAAAGAAGCATAAAATTAATTGCTACATCTAATACTTTGCGTGTTAAAGGATTTTTTTTGTTAATATTTAAAAATAAATGCAAGTTAATTAATATGTAAAAAAAAATGTCTTTTCTTTCTCTACGTATATTACATAAGAATATACCGAGTAACGTTCGTTTAATAAAGTTTTTAAGAACGATTTAATCCATTCCTTGGTATACTTATAATTAGTTCGTTCAAAGAAAAAATGGCCGACTAACATAGACTATAACGTTATATGTATACGTAACTTTCCAGGTACACTTACAATTCGATTATAAATCGGGAAATAAAATTACATTATCGCTCGATAAATTACTACTTCTTTATAAGTCATGGTCAAAGAATATAAATCTATTTCGATAATAATTGATATAATTTTCTTAAGTTATACCTATCCACTGTATACATAAAAAAGAAAAATATTTACTTAAAACGATATAATACTTAAATAGACATTTTTAAACAAAAGACACTAACATTTATATTCTTTTATTTTAGTATTCTTTCCTTGCATTCTGAGGGATACAAAAAAATCACGTTAAGTAATATAATCTTTATTGTTAGACAATTTAAAATTTTTTCAAACGATGTTATTTCAAGACAAAGTCATCGTAACTATTCCGAACAACTTTTTATATGATAGAATGAATAAAAAACAAAAAGAAAACAAAATCGTAATAAAAATAACTATCAATATTTTTCGATAACAATAATAATCGATTCAAAATTGCATATGTGTAATATGCAAATATAATATTTGTAGGAATCTAAAGCAGAATATAGGAAAATACAACAATGGATTTCTCATAAGACCAATGAAAGGACGCGCAGAAGTTTATTTGGAATACGAGACGGGAAGAAGAAACTTACCTTTATTATATCCTCTCTCCCTATTTTTCTTTAGACCGTTCCGTTCGTGCTGATCACGGTTATTCGATCCGTTTCGAGAGTGATTCGTTTATTTTCTGTCTGATGTTCCAGTAGAAACAGGAATTGCCGGGTGGCAAGAGAGTATGGAGGGATAATCGCTGAGGAGAATAGTCGGGAAGGGCGAAACCGGAGAATTTCTTTGGTGTTTATGTATGAATCTACCTATATACGTATATATATATAAGTGCGCACGCGTGTGTGCGCACGCGTAAGAGCGTAAGTGTGTGTGTAGTAATACGTTGTAGTAATATGCGTGTAGGTAGTATAGAAGCGTGACCTAATGTAAAAAGTAGTTAGTAAGAATGTGTGCGAACAATGGAAAGAGTAAGGAAAACACGAAAAATAAAGGATCCTTACGAAGTATAACGCACTACGGTCGAGACTCGACTGCTATGTCGGTGGTTCTTTCCACACCGTTAATCGTGCCGCACCGCGCCACGCTGCGGCCGCAGAATCGAGAACGGCAGCGCCGTTTCGATGATTCCTAGTAAACGCACACTCCTACCACATAACACTATTCTTTCTTTATTCTTTCTTTGTCTCTATTTATCAATTTAAGGGTGAGCATCTATCTCCTTTTACTTACTATTACGCATCGTCATCGAAAGTATATATTATGCAACACGTGACATTGGAATATCATCGAAAAAAATAAACTTTTTATTTCTTTTTTATTTTCTTTGACCCGTCCAAATTTGTATACCTTTTATTTAAGATTTCCTTCCTCTTTCTTTTTTTTTCTTTTTTTTCAAATGTCAAGGTAACAAATTTGATGTAGTTTTTTCATAAGAGATGGAGTACAAATTGGATTAATAGTAATTTATATGTTATCGTTAAAAAGTGTATAATTCAGTTAATTTATGAAAAACCTCGGTCTTTCACGAAATAACTAAGCGCATGTTATGAAAATTTCTATAGAAAAATTTTAATGATCGTACTATATATTATATGTTTTCATTGATCAAATGTTACATTTAACAAGTATACACATACACATACATATATATACACATAACTGAAAAATTAAAATTTCCTTATTTTCTGATGATGTCATCTCGAAAACTTATTATTCAGCGAGAAACATACTTTAACAATATAGAACCCATCGACCGTGTAATGTTCTCATTTAAAGTATAGAAACAGTTTGACTTCCTTAGAAAAATTTTCTTATTTTTTATAATTTGAATAAGTAACCTATGAAAGGAGACCGATTGTATCCAAAGACACTTAAATTCGAACGATTTGAACTTTAGCAATTAAGCAGACAATTTTACGGAAGTTTCATACTAATCTTACAAAAAGTAAGTGCGTTTACTATATCCTAATGAAATATATTACACATAAATATATATAATTATCTCATTAGTAATATGACTTATATATGTGCATATGATATGATATGAAATATTTCATTGCTTTTTGTTTTTTGAATGGCATTACATTTCTCTACCTTTTTTTTTTATTCTTGAAATCTTTTATATTCGATTTAAATTATAAATTACAATTCTGTAGATACGTTTTATCTTATTCAAAAGTCATGCGATCATTGTGATTGTTAAATTGATTTTATGAGTCTTTAGTTATTCGTAATTCACACAATAATTCGATTAATTTCATTTAATATTATATAATTTTATTAAAAATCCTTAAGCCGATAAGTGGAAATCTTCCTCTCTTTTATCTTCTCACCTTGAAATTTTATCATTTCTGGTATTTTCTTTTTATTACTTACAATTCTTTTCTTGTAAGAGAAGTTTGAAAAATTCACGGTCTTATTTTAGTTTTTTTTTTCATTTTAAGATATTAATTGTTGGTCTTTACAAAGAGGAAATGCATACATTTAGAAAAGTAGAATCCTCTTCAGTATATTTAAATGTAAAAACTACGATAATATTTAATTCTGTTATCAATTTTTTTCAACGATAATCAAATTTATAAATTATTTTTGCAAGCTTATCAATAAATAATTATTACGATTATAGATATATAATTTGTTTCGATGATGTCATTAAAGTCACTCGCGTAAGAATCAAACATAGTGATATGAGACACTCGATCGATATAACCAATATATAAGTAGATGCTATTTAACTATCGATTAAATAGAACATAGCAAATATGAATCGTATTATTCAAATTTTTTAATTTGATATTTTATAGTTTATCATTTATCAACAAAATTTTATATTAAGTTATTTTTCTTTTAATTTTTTTTACGTAAATATGCTATTTTTCTTCTCTTCTTATTTTTTTAGCTAGTTATTGTGCTGATGGTGCTTAAATTACTGTCTCATAAGCTGTTAACAGAGATATATAATGATAAAATTACTGATATATTTATATCGTTTGATTCTTATTAATAATTTGCAATAAGCATTTTATTTATCATTTTTGTATTAGAAAAAAAAGATATATATATGTCATAAAAAATACAGAAATAAACATGGAAAAAAGGTGATTTACGCTATATTTGCAGTTTTATTAACGCGGATTAATACGCGGATACTTTCGTAGGCCATATTAACTTTCCGAGTAAAATTTTACGATTATCTTAGTTAATCTTCTTTCTATTCTATTCGATAAGTGTTATAAAATGCTCATAAATTTTTTTCTTATCATATTTTTCTTTCTTTTTTCTCCTTCATTATTATTATGTCTTCTTATAAACATTTCGTTTTTTTAACAAATTGTTTTGACTTTTCTCGAAAGTGCGATCATGCTACCAGAGTTCTCATTGTCAGAGCGATCTTAATTTACAATCATTTCTCGGGTTCAATTACTCACTTAACCCGACTCGCGTTGACGCTAAGCGTCTATTAAATCGCATCAACAACATCGGTCACTTGGACGTATAAAAACAAATTTGTATCTTGAAAATTTCCTTACCACTAAATATTTATCTCCTTCACCTTTTACTCACAATTTTTTTCCTTTCATTTTTTTCTTTGTTAAATTTTTCACGATCTTTTTAACATAACAAGAGAAATATTGATTATACGTTATTAATGATAAATAATTAAATTACTATTAATGGTTTTTTAAAAAAAAAATTTAAAAAAATTATATCAAAATGATCATATTTTTTCCTATCTTTAAATATGCTTATAATACTTTTAAACGTATTACATCCTTTAATGTTCACAACATTACTAAGTGTTATTATATAACACATTGTGATTTAACAAAAAATTGTTACTATTGTAGATGTCATTCGTTGATACTACAATAGCTATGAGTAAAATGTATGTTTTCTTGAACATATTCCATAGTTATATGATTTACATTTGAAATTTCGCGCTTTTTTGATCAGCTGTTACAATACAACGAAACGATCCATCGTGTTACTATGTTCAGTCCGTAAGAGATAACATGGCGGTGTGGAGTAGCTTATTGCGTTCTGCAAGCCAAAAAATTAATAAATTTCCTACATTACTGTTTAAAAAATCTCTTATAAACAGTAAGTATTCAATATTTATACTCAACTATTTTGGTTTTATGTTTTTATGTTATTTTAAATGATTGTTTATAAGCGATAAGAGTCGCGTTACATAATATTTTGTTGGGAATTAAATTTATAATAATAAATCGTAAATGACAATAGTGATATTTTTCTGTACTTTTCAGTGAAAAATTAATATTGTTTATATTATTTGTTATGTTATAATTATTGATTACTGTCTTAGGATTTATATGTTTCAGGTTATGTATTATCATATATTACATATATTGGGTTGAGTTTCCTCGTATTTGAATGCAAAAGTGAAACAATTTTTATACATATTAAATATCAAGTCTTTTCGAAATAGCTACGAATAGGAAAATACGAAGTGACTTTTTACTTAACCCAATATAGATTTTAGATATATAAAATTATATAAAGAAATACAAGAAATCTCTTACATTAGTTTTATTTCATTTGAATTAGTCTTTGATCATTTATTTATACTTGGAATTATTACTATTAATATTAAATTATTGTATTATATTAATTGATTGTAAAAATCATTAGATGTTTAATCTCTACAATAATGTAAGAGTTATAAATTATTAATTTATATTTTTATAGATCAGATAAGATGTATGTCACATGACCGTGTAATGGCAATAAAAGGTTCTAAATGGCAATGGACAAAATGTAAAGATATGTTTCACTTCTATTTTATGTTGGGTGTAATACCATTATCACTTCTTACATTTTTTGTAAATGTGTTTGTGGGTCCAGCGACACTTGAGCCTATTCCAGAAGGATATAATCCAAAGCCTTGGGAATATTATAGAGTATGAAATTTTGATTAATTTAATTTTACGAGTTAATATTATTAATCCTTTGCGGATAAGCCAGATATATATGTGTTTAACTATCAGGGTAGCCCATTAACTCATATATGCGTCCAGTATTTTAATGTCAAATTAATATTTAACGATAAATAATAAACTAATAAGTAAGTATAATTTATGAACATTAAATTTCTATATTATTTATGAATCTAAAATTACAATAATACCATCTGTATCTCTATTGAATAAATATATCAATAATATTAATATAAAATATTGAATAAATATCTAATAAATAATTAATTATATATCAATTAAATGCACAGTACACGACATAAGTAGACTAATCATTTTGCTGCTTCATCCGCAAAGGCCTATTGTAATAGTCTTCCTATCACATTTGATATATTTCGTCATTTTATCTCAATCCTTTATATTTCCATTATTTTCAGCATCCTATAACCAGATTTCTTATTCGTTATTTACTTGTAACACATCAGCAAGATTATGAAAAATTTTTACATACTATGTATTTAGAACAAGAACTTAATAAGACAAGACATCTTCAACAAAAAATAGAAGATTTGATTTCAGAAAGAAACGATTATAAATTCTTCTACTATTTACCAATAACGGCTAAATATCTCCATAAAGCTAGGAGTAGCATTGAAACGAATGATGAGTATAGGACCTATTCAAAGTATTGATACTTATGTGTTAATGAACAGATTAAAAGGCTTTGTGATTGTTTGATATGTGAGTTTTTAACCCAAGTGTATCAAAAGAGAGAAATATCAATCACAAATATAGTGAAAAGTTTTAGGATAATAATTATTCACTGATACAATTATATACATATGTATAATATACCATTGTTAAATAATATTTAATAAAGGTATTTGAAAATGAATTCAGGTTGCCCCAAATTTATCATTGTATTAGAAAATTTATTTCTTTGCATATAAAATGTAACTGTCACATGTTTTCTTTCACATAAAATATATTTCAGTTTTTATCAATGCTTTTCTTTGATTTAAATGGTCATTCAATTAATTTATTGTTTTTTATTAATATATTAATTTTTATAAATATTCAGTTTGTATAATTCAGTTGATAATTCATATAATTGTTATTAAAACGCTAAAATTTATTTAGATACTATCCGC